AAACTATATTTTCCCAAGTACAGATATGAAAACAAGAAGAACAAAGGGATTCAACAACTTTGTACAACTGTCCAAGAATGCTTAAAACAGCATGGTAATGTTATGCTAGCGCCACCTGCTTGTACTTTAACATCAGTAGAACAATCAGTTTACTTTTCACTGGTAATGCCATGTGAATTAGATGCATTGAGACTCAATTGTGACCTGACTTGAATTGAGTTGTATACCCACCTGGATCTTAAAAGTGTAGACTATGTCCCCTGCTGCCCCACTGCGATGTGTTGCCAACTGTATATTAGTCAGAGCATTATTTGAGCTTGTACATTTCCCATTCATTTTCCCCATAAACTTTCTGAAACAAAAATGTATACTTAAAGGCTGAAAGCTTGCTCTGACCACAACAAGATAAAAGTTACCAAATAGCTTGTTGGTCTCTGCGATGCCTTTGAACTCTTAATATTTTACTTGTTAGAAAGTCTTTGGGAAAAATTTATGGAAAATGTACTTCCAGAACCAGGGTGGCTTTAAAAGTGGACAGTTGATAACCATTCAAATGTTATTGTCACAGCCCTGCCCTAAGTAGTTGTTTCCCTCCTCAGTCCATGTTGGGCAGTGAGGAGTGCGTCTCTGCTCTGTTGGACCACGGTGCATCTGCTCTATGTCGAGACTCTCAGGGAAGGACTCCACTGCACTTGGCCGCCTCCTGTGGCCACGTGCCGTTACTGCACCTGCTGCTGAAGGCGGCTGTAACCTCTGACCCCCTGGACTCCATGTTGGACTTCAGAGGATACACGCCGACTCACTGGGCAGCCTACCACGGTTAGACTAACTCACAATAGTATTTAGTCTATTTAGACTTTCAATTGTGGTGGTATGTAAATAGACTGTTAAAGTTCAATAAAGACTACATTTTATTATGACATTTTAAATAAAATTTACTTTATAAACAGACTAAGTATTATTAATAATATTTTTCCTCTGCAGGGCGTGAAAAGTGCTTACAAATTTTACTTGAAAACAAACTTGAAAGCAACCAAGAAGGAAACTCTTTCTCTCCCCTGCACTGTGCACTGTGAGTATTGTAAAATGAGATCCTGCAGGAAAATAGTTTGCTGAAATGGATTAAGATAAGATCAACTTTATTGTCTTGAGAGGAAATTTAAGTCTGATAATTTAAATTGTCAGTTGTTGGTGTCCGTTGCCTTTTTTGTGCATTACTAAACCATAAAGTGATGATCTATCTATCAAGAAGTAAAGCATTTGAAAATATTTATCATACTGTTTATTTTACTTTTTAACTATTAAATCTTCTCACTGTAGAATAAATGGCCATGATGAAGCTGCTAAACTTATTTTAAACTATTGGCCTAAAACGTGTCAATCTGCAGGATGCAAAAGGAAGGTAAGTCTCAACTTTCATGCCTTGGTCCATACATTATTAGTCAGTATCCAATTGGTTTATTGCCATTACTGTCTTATTCATATACATGTAATATATTCCTGTATTGTCTGTATATTGTGTTTGCAGGACTCCGCTCCACGCTGCGGCATATTCAGGAAACCTCTCAGGACTGGACCTGCTGCTATCCCAGGGGTCAAAGGTCAACGCTGTGGACCACAATGGCTGCTCTGCCCTCATGGTGGCCGCAGAGAGTGGACAAACCATGGCTGTGGGTACGTCATTATAAAGCTCTAGTCAACCCTATGAAACCATCTCACTTTTATATTAGAAATTACGTTCATCTTAACCAAATATTTAAAATTAAAATAAATGAATCAAGATTCAAATTACAGATGAATTGTGATAGAATGGAAATTCACATAATTTAAATCTCATATATTTCAGATTAATATTAATGAATAATTATAACTCTATAGAAGATACATATATATATATATATATATATATATATATATATTATATTATTTTATTTTATAGATTAATATCCTACATTTCCCTGGAATTCAAATGAAACATATCATTATTTGTTAAGGACTGGGTTCACAAAATTGCCCATATTAACCTTTTATGATATAAAGTAATTCAGCTCACAACAATTAAACCCTTTATTAAACTGAATAATTGCCCCAATTTTCTATGTTATTAAATCTTCTTAGTTCATATTTGCAGACATAAAGTACCTGGAATTTTTTTGTTTCAAATGGATGGACTCAGTAATTATAGATATATTTACTATTAAAAGAAAATTATACCATAGAACAAGACCAAAACAAGGCTACATCAGGACTAAACTTTGCGCAAACCAGGATCAAACCAGGACATGGGTTACAAAGAAGAAAATGACTGTGATTATTTCTTGTTTTCAGAGTTTTTGCTGCACAAAGCCAAACCCGATCTGACTCTGGTGGACTCCAATAACAACACAGCCCTTCACTTGGCCTGCAGCAAGGTCCCTATACATACAATACCACACTTGACCACTAGGCCTGTCACACTAACTCATTTAAACTGTGATGTATGTAAATATTGCAACAAACGACAATGAAACCACGGACAGTCCACTGACACAATAACCTTAATACAGGATAATCTCTGTAAACCATTATCTAAAACTAACCATATCGTAAATTAAAACATGAGGTGCAACTTAAAAAATGCATGTATATGTGAAACTACACAATCCTGACTAATTAAATATTGTATTACATTATTATTCAAATTAGCCACATGATTTTAACTCATTGTGGTCCTCAAACTAACATCAACTATGCTTATGTAATTTTAGGAGTTCTAATGTAAAGATGTAATGGAGTGTGATATGGTAATAAAATTGGAGAACAACAAAGTAAAAGGCAGTGGTTGTATTTTGTGGCAGTGAAAACAGGGATGGACTACTCAAATATACATGAATCACTGTAAATACAAGTCTGAGTGGGAAAACAATATCCTAATCTCCTTATAATGATCCTACATCAATTCATACAGTTTTTTTTCTCTCTTTAGGGTCACGAGATGTGTGCGTTGCTAATTTTGGGAGAAATCAATGACTCATCTCTCATAAATGCTGCCAACAATACTTTACAAATGTAGGTTATAAATATCCCTTGTGTTATAAAAATATATTGCATACATATGTTCATTGAATTATTATAATTTCTTAAAGGCCCCTTCACATCGCAGCAAGACAGGGCCTGGCTACAGTGGTGCAGGTGTTACTGAGCAGAGGAGCAGCTGTGATGGCTGTCGATGAAGAAGGTAAGATGACACTAAGATGGCACTGACGTTGGGTTCATGTGGCATTGTAGCTTTCTAAACTGCCCATCCCCATAGCTTTCAATTAAAGTAAAGGGCAGATCAGTTTGCTACTATTATCGACTGACAATGTTTTTTCCTCATCTTCAGCTTATTCAAAGTCGTATTTTGATTGTGCATACTGGTGCTTGTTCTCATCAGTGTTATAATGATAACAAGAACCAATGCCACTTTAAAGTGTTGCATCTTTTTGCTGTTCAGCAATTTTAAGCAAGCACTCAAAAAGTATTCTAAAATGAAAAAGAAGACTATATTATGAATCTTATAAAGTGAATGACATTAACTTGTGTATTGGAACAAATAAACAAATCCTGGTGTCAGTACTAGCATTGAGTGAGTACTCAAAAGGAAGTGCTTGTATCTGATCCCACACTGATGGGTCTATACTTGAAATTACTTAAAAAGTCTACATTTTTTAGTTTTGAAAAGGAAGTTAAACAATTACTTTAATTTTAAAGGGCCCATACTACGGCATTTTTTGGTATTATGTTGTTTCCTTGTCAAATCATACCTGGAGTTGTGTTTTGTTTCATTCACACATGATTAACACACAAACCTTGCATATTTAGACTGACTTCTTCCCCCAAACGAAAAATGCTCCTTGTGATGTCACGTGGTAATACAGGAAGTACTCTACAATGTTTTTAAACTCCATACACTTTCACAACAATCATGTGGGTGATTTCAGCCGTAGAATAGCCCATTTCTACTGAACTAAAGGTAAAATGTAGCTGTTAATATAAAAACTACTACTTCAGGACATCCCAAGGTGGAGCAGAGCATTTTAAGCTTTGGAGATGTAGACAGACTAATAATAAAGGGTTACTCAAACATGTGTGAATGAAACAAAACACAACTCTAGGTATGTTTTTGATGAGGTAACAGCATTATAAGATGGCTTAAATCTCATAAGAGTCAATTTTGTGTAATATAGAACCTTTAAATCTATATCTTGGTTTATAATGAACAAAGTTTGTTTAAGTTTGTCATTGTTTATCTAAATTAAATTATGTTTTCTTTAACCCATTTCTCTTAGGTCGTACTCCAGCTCTGGCCTGTGCTCCCAACAAGAATGTGGCCGATTGTCTGGCTCTGATCCTCTCCACTATGAAGCCTTTCCCTCCCAGAGAAGCTATGGTCAATAATGCACCCCATTTTAGCCCCATCCTCAAGAACTGTGGCATCGCTGCTACCTGAACCACAACGTAAAACCCTAAAAACTCCTTTCAACTTATGCACAAGCAGATCTGACCGAGACTATGCTCCCAGGACAAACCACTGCACGTGAGAAGTGTCAGATATGTCAAAGAGAATCAGAAAGCTCCCTAACTAGTCTTACTAATTTTAACCGCCTCAATTTAACTAGTGTTTTCCTGTTGCATATTATAGTGATAAAGTGGAGATTTTTAATATGAATGAACATTTAAAAAGCACACTATTACTATCCAATACAATATTGTTTTTAACCTAAGGCATATATCTTTATTGTTCTGTATATGGACTACAAGGGCAGAAATACCTAGGGTGCCTTTCCACTGATTGGTATGGTGTATGGTAGTGGTTGAGTTTGTTTTGACTCAGTAATAATAAAAGTGGGATGGCAAGTTATACAGGTTACCCATTTGAAAGGACTTGTATTCAATTATTACTATGACAGAAGAACATATCCGTGACCCACTTCCTCAAACTGCACCTCAGGCCCAAGTCAAACATGGCATGACATTTGGTGACAGATGGCGAATGAGCTTGTTTGTTTCCAATATATCATTTAGAACACAATCAAATCTCACCTCAAATTAAATTAAAAGTTTAGTCCCTTATTCACTGATTTTGGGGCGAAGGTTACTGTAATGCATTTCTCATTTCTTTCTATAACTACTACTACAAACACTACTACAAGCATTACTACTACTACTACTGTTGCTACTATTACTATTAGAAGCAGATAGATTTATTTGTCACATAAAATGTTAAAAACACAGTTAAATAACATACAGTGAAATGACAAAGTAATAAAACAATTCCTTCATTTGCCAGTAAAAACTCCCATTTTGAACCAACACATACCAGTCCAGTGGAAGTGAGGCTCTAAAAGCAATGACTTTTGTATTTACATGTTAACACATTTCTCTATAAACCACCTATGTAACAGGTGCTATTAACACTTATGCAACTTCCAAGCCTCTATTTTCTTAATATGTACAAACTTTAGCTAACCTTGTTTTGCTCGTGACTTCCTGGATGACTGAGAATCTCCACATATATAGAAATGTTATAATTAATGAACCTATATTTTAGTGTCTATGGATGTCTGTAAAAGTATAAATGGATTTATAAGTAAACATATATAGCAGATCCAAATGTAATGTGCAGCCTCAGGTGTATTGTAAAAAGCACAAGAACAAAAAGAAGTTAAGAAGTTTATTTTAAAGCAAATATTTTAGACTGAAGAAACCAACTATGCCTCTCCATTTCAACAATATAAGATCCAGGACTATTGCACCCATTTGATGCATTTTACAGTTTTATTCTCTTGCTGAGTTTCAGATTTCATCACAATGTTCTATAGGCCAATGCTATTTAATACAAATGGGGGCAGCTAAAATTCATATTGTTCAGATTTCTGTTGTAATACAGTGAATTCTTGGGTCTAGTGAGTAATAGAAATGACCAGGTTCAACATTTGTGAATTCACCTTTTGGATATTTCATGGGAAAGTACATTATTCAGTAGGGATACTGTCTCTTGCTCCCATATGGAAGTATGACATCATCAAGTTTACTATATATATATATATATATATATATATATATATATATATATATATATATATATATATATAAGAAGAAGTGATAGAATAAGTGTTTGATAAAAAGAAGATCAAGAATGGTAGTATTTTGATTGTTAAGTTGTGTTTAGTATTGCTGTAATCAGATCAAAGTTTTCTAATTATAAAATACAAAAAAGTACGGCAAAAGAAAAAAAAATCATATTTCATATACTTTCATATACTAAAGCTTTTGAAACCAATAACCAAATACAGTAACTTGTGAGAGCACCCCAGAACTTTTACTTGAAAATGATTCAAAAAAGCTATATAGCGTGATTAAACTACAGTGACTGAAGTACAGTCTGTACCCTATTATTACCCACTACCCACTGTTTGTTTTGTCGAGTCAATTGTTTACAACCCAAAGATGCAAGAAAGTAGTTAAAGGTACACAATGTAACTTTTCTCGTGGGTATTCCTACACCTGCTTCTCTCCATGGAGATGTTATTTTATATCTAGAAAGTTCCACAGGATTCATGAGTACCAGCTTCCTTATAGGTGACATTTTACCAGTCAAGAAATATAAAAATTTTTCTCTTGTTTATTATTATAGTATCAGGTTTAAAATTTGTATTAATCTGAATTTTGAAACCAAGAAAGAGCATTAAACATATATTTTTTTGCAAGTGTTTTTATAGCACAAAGAGAAACACATGGAGAAACACAAGTTTAATGCCATACCTTTGAACTTTCAACTCAGCAACATCTCCATGGGAACAAGTTGGTGGCATACTACACCAGAAAAGTTACAAAGTGCATCTTTATGATAGTATAGCTAATGAATTGTCTTTGTACTATGTTTATGTTAAAATTATTAGTATTAATTTTGGCATTTATTTTGTGGCCATCAGTAATATTGCATGGTATCTTGTGGTTCTCAAACAATTCTGACCAAGTATAAAATACTTTGATTAGACCTGGACTAGAAATTACTAGACTCTAAATTAGTCCTGGTTTCATTCCAGGTTTAGTCTTAGTTTTGGTGAAGGACTGATCCAGGACTAAAGCAGCTGAGACCTAACTAGTGCTAAACCAGGATTAAGTCATGGGAATTCTTAAATGTATTCTCTCGTTCATGGTTTTCAGCTCCTGTTATATGGTGCCATTTTGAGGACAGTAAAAATATTTAGTTTTGCATCATTAATTGCTATGGCAACCATCCTAACTTGTCATAATTCTGGACCATGGATACTTAAACTACAACCACATCTTGAGTTGAGAATCACTTGTTATAAGCTGTTTCACAATATCGAGAAACCATTGTGATTTTATTGAACCACTATTAATTTAAATGGAACAGATGTAATGAAGTTTTTGAATAGAGAAGAGTGCATGAATGGTGATGTGCCTGGACTGTGATTCTGAAAACACAAAGCTGTAGTTTGTACAATTATTAATTTGTTTTTATCTTTTGTCGTTTGTAATGTGTACACAGATAAAATGTTTTCAATTCTTTACCGTCTTTGGATTTTGTTATTATTTTTTTATGTACAATATGGACTACTACTTATGGTTTAATCCTGATAATGGCTATGTCCAAACTTGTCCTGGTTTGGTCCTGTTCCAAACTGAGTTTACATCAAGACTAAACTGGGCTCAAACAAGGGCTAAAGCAGGACTAAAACAGGACACAAGTGAACTGTTACCAAACTCGTTAAATCTTTCACATTCAATAAATAAATATCTTAATTTTAATTAAATAAGATGTATTTATTAAATTATGTTGTAATATATTCTAAAAGTTAAAAGTTCCCCCTGGGGTATCTGCCACTCTGTGTAGAGGCCATAGACTATATATACAAAAAGCATATACATTATATATACAATATATACTATATGTGTATGGAGACCACTCCCCATTACTCCAAATATAAAAATATATAAATAAGAAACAAAAGGTGGCGCTCTAACCTTTTGCGCTACAGACTTTTCCTTTTCCATAAGCAGTAGTTTTGTCCACTTCCCGGTTGCGCCGGGTCAGTCTGCAGCGTGTTCCTAAATAGTGCACCGTAAAAACCAGTGCTTTTCTCTTTCGTTTTACCCAAATCTCTCCGCTCACACAAAATGGCGAACGTGGTGCTGGAGTTTAAGGCTTCTGCCGGCGACTCCGAGCCACAAAATCGCCCGGTTTTGGTGCTCGGAACCCAGGCTAATCTGCAGCAAGTCAACTGGAGTCAAATGAAAGGGAAGCTCCAGCCCGTGGTCAGCAAAGAGGTACCGTGCTAAAGACTGTCACACGGCTAATGCTAACTATCTTCAGCCAAAAACACCAATATTTATTATTTATTCATTCGCAATTTGGCTTGTGCTTAGTTATGCGTATTCGTAAGCATGATTATTGATTAGTTAGCAACGTGGCTAAACATTACGTCTACCATATTTATTTATCTAATTTAACAGGTACCGTGTATCCGTTAATTAATCTTACACAGGAAAAGATGATCTATACCAAATGTAGCTACTACTTGTGCTATTTGCACACAAAATAGCATAACTTGTAGTATAACGTAGCTAAGTTATTATTGACAGTGAACATAGATACATGACAGTGAACAAAAAATTTGATTTGGTGATTTGGTGCAACAAACCGATGTAACGATAGATATACAACTAAAATATAATACAAAATATTAGGCACGCGTGCATAGTAAAATCGAAGAATAATACAGTAAAATTTAGGAAACCTTGTGCAATTTATTGCTTCTTTCTTGTCTATGCTGAAGTATGCAGTATTTCATGAATTTGTCAACATACTGATTCATTCATTATTATTTGTATAGCAGGAAAGTGACTAAATTGTTTTGAATACAATATCTGATTGCTAAACTAAATAACTTTGTAGAATGTTATGCTATTAAATTGTATAAATATACACATAACCTACAGTCAGTCCTGCGCTACAAAATCTTGGTTTAGTCCGTTTGAGTCTTGGTTTAATCTATGATGCACTCTGTTCCATTTAAAAAGATCTTGGTTTCCTGATTTCTGCACTGTAATGATAATCCAGATAGTGCAAAGTCTCTGACAGGTTGTGCAACAGGAACTATTAAGAGCCTGAAGACGCTCACGCAAAGTCCTACTCTGTAATACTCTACTAATGATTACCCAGTGCACCTGTTCAACCACTGCTGTTACTTTAGACATAACAGGTCTTAAAAAGAAACAGCGTTCAGTAATAAGTATACATTATGAGCAAATGCATGCAGCTAATGGTAGTATTTGCCTCCTCTACCACATTTTTCACAACTCATTGCAAATTTATACAGGAAAGATTAGTAAGGTTCTTAAAGATACACCATTTGCTTAAATTTCTGTTAGCTCAAGTAGAAATAGGAACCTATTAAATGCAAAGTGAGCAGGCAGAGGCAGAGATACATTTTCAAAAGAAATTTTGTGTCAGAGATGCAGATTGTATCTCCACAAGTCTGCACCCTGGGGGAGGACCTCCTGCTTTTTCCATGGAAATGTTGTTACTTAGGCAATAATATTCCTCAGTATGGTATAAAACTTCTCTATCTCCCTGAGATCATACAGGTGAAAGTTATGTTGACATTGATATAAAAGACAAAGCTTGGCCTGTCATAACAATTTTCAAACATACAATAAACGATAATATTGAAAGAAATTTTTGCCATTGATGCAAAAACCCTGAAGCTAGATTACCCCCAAAATATTCTAAATGGTTAAAAACATGGTTAAAAACATGACCTGCAATAAATAAATAAATGGCAGAATAAAGATAGTATCTATGAGTCACAGAAGTTAGTTTTTCAATCCTACAACCCAAAATAGCGAAACACAACGTAACAAAAAAATTTACCTTTTATAAATATTGAATACCACCCCCACCCCCCAGAGGAAAATTATTTTAGCAGTAAGTTAATAGTATTAATTGTGACAGGCCTAGGGTCAGTGTCTAAAGATTTCTAGACTTGAAAGTATAAAGGTAATCATCCTTTCTCTGTGTTATTTCAGATCTGGCAGGCAGCTCTCTCTGCGCTGAACCCGAACCCCACAGACAGCTGCCCTTTGTACCTGAACATGGCAACGGTCGCTTCACTTCCCGCTCGGGTCAGTCGTCATAACAGCCCCTCGGCCGCTCACTTTGTTGCCCGCCTCGTCCGCTCATGTCTGCCCGGAGGAAACAACCGCTGCATCGTGGTCAGTAACAATAACAGCACGTGTCTGAAAGTGATTTTATTTATGGGGAATTGTGTCTCTTTCCATCTCTACAAGACTGGGTCCACAAGAATGGGACTAGATGCAATTTTGACATAATTTCTAATCAATAAAGTTTAAATTTACAGTTTTGGCTTCAGAATGTAGTATATCATATTTTTGCTGTCATTGTAGCACTGCATTTTGGAACTACAGGTGTAGCTTAGCAAAGTTGACCCTTTTTTAACAATATCTGGTACAATATCTTGTCCATTATTTTATGGCAACATTAACACATTTTGACGTTAAGCTGGTTAAAAATTCCCACATACGGTAATATCACAATTCCAGATGTTTATGTGACTTGGCTTATAATTGTGAAAAGAAACATTGCAATTAATAAAGGAAAACCACAGACTTTTTGTCGCATGGAGTAAAAAAAATAGTTATTGGTTTATTATTGTTGCATTTCAACAAGACATTTGTTCATTTATTATGTTAAAACAGTCTGCCTCAGTATTTTGCTGAGTGCAGTAAACACTAAAACTCAGTATTTTGCTGAGTGGGTCCTCCAGTTGTGCGCTGGAGGTTGACCGTGTCACGCAATACAGACAAGTAACCTAAATCTATCCAAGCCAAATTTTTTTATATAAAATATTTTCAGTTTGTCTCAATTTTCTTTTACTTTTAGCTGTAGTCACTTATTAAATGATGTTAAGTTTGGTTTAAATATAGCTGAAATATTTGTCATGTTATCTAGTTCACATACTGCCATCTGTAGTTGGTTTTAGAGTCTGGTTCCTTTGTTGTTGTGGCTTTTTAAAAATCTTCTATCTGATTTAATGAAGGCAGAAGTAGACAGTGCACAAAACAACCCACATCTGGGTAATCCTGTCAACTGGAAATTCTAATTGACTCCCTTTTCTATACTATGTACTATATACTATTTAATCTTTTTTTTTAAGATTTTAAGTTTCAATTGGCCATAGAGAATTATTTTAGCTGAATAAAAACTACATTTGTGACTTGCCCATGTGATGTAATGACTCATTTGTGCCTGGTAGATGGTGTGTGAGCGCTCGGACGTCTTTGCCTCTGCCTGTGCCATCTCCAGAGCATTCCCGGTTTTCTCTCGTCGCTCTTCAGCCTCAAGACGAACCGAGAAGAAACGCGTCACTGTGGAGTTCATGATCGTCGGAGCAGACAGCAGCCCTCTGGAGCCCAATGAGCTGGAGGTGAGATTTAGGAAAAATGTGTATTAGGATTCTGTTCAAGGTTCACATTTCAAACATGGCCTGAAGAATAGACACAAAGAGAATGAACTGACCCAGAATTTACACCAGGAGTGTCAGCAGCACATAACGTAGGCAGAGCTGCAGATGCGGACGCATGTACTTTAAAAGTAGGCAACAGAGCTGCTCCTGTGCCTTTGCATATTCTCACATTTAAGCACAAAATTTTTTACATGGCTCATGTGTTCATATTTGATTGGATGAATTATGTTTTAAATCACAATAAAAAAAAGCTGCCAATAGAGAGAAAATAGAGATGATGCTTTGCAGCAATAACAAGCCGTATCGGTGGTGCTCACATTAATTAAACTACTCACCATTTAACTTTGGTTGTCTGTAGTGGTTTTAGAGAATGTATTTTCAGAGGTTATCGGAAGTTTATTTTGACACCACATGCCCATTTCCTGTCTTTCCCCTGCTAAAAAGCCCGGAGATGCTTCGTTGACACTGCAAAATTAGAACTCTAACCTATTTTGAGTAGCACGTAGTGTAATGATGACCGTATGACACTGCTGGTGTAAATTGTCAGACTGGTTAAAATGGAAAGCCATACCTGTGCATACGCGCTGTTACACTCTGGTGTAAATTGGGGAGACACTGACAACTGATACATTTCAGAAGTTGTTTGTTCAGAGCTGTTTTCAAGCAGAATAAGACAGGATATTGTGCTATTTGTGAAGAAAATGATGGTACTTGCAGCCTTTGCGCTGAGTCAAATTATTTTTCCGTTCAATTGCAATTAATCTTATTCCCCTAATTTGAAATCTTTATTCATATAATCTTTACTTCGCAGTAGTCACGCTAATGGAGGTCAGTAAATAAATAAAACAAAAACCTAAACTGTACATAAGTTTTATATTTTTGTCTTCAGTGTTTGTCCAACGCTGCTGATGGAGTCCGATTGGCTGCTCGAATCGTTGACACTCCATGCAATGAGATGAATACAGACCACTTTTTGGATGTAGGTTTCACATTTTCTTTGGAGTAAATTAATTTAGAAGAAATCAAATATTTATTTTAGTGTTATTGTATTTTACAAAACATGAACAGCAATTGTATTATTCTTTCCAGGAAATCAAAGCTGTTGGCACCGAACTTGGAATTACCCCAGTGATCATTCGAGGAGAGGAATTAAAACAAAAAGGGTTTGGAGGTAAGTGCTCCCATTATAAATAAATAAATAAATAAATAAATAATAATACAGTTTTGTGGGTTTGAATCCTCAGCTAAAAATGTTCTGAAAATGGGTGCAGTTCTGCTTGGATTTGCCATACTCATGTAATCTGTATTCAGTTTGGAGTTTGCCACCAATCGCATCACTCACGCTTTCAGCATTCATGAACCCATCGCTCTAGCTCTAGTCCTATGTAATAACAGTAGCATATGTGTTCTTTTCTCAGGGATCTATGGAGTGGGTAAAGCAGCGGAGCACCCTCCAGCTTTAGCCATCCTGAGCCACACACCAGAGGGCGCCACGCAGACCATTGCGTGGGTTGGAAAAGGAATAGTTTACGACACCGGAGGACTCAGCATCAAGGGAAAAGTAAGTACCCACCAATGTACTAAACACAGAGAAACAACAAAGAAACCACTGCAATTGTATTTAGATGCACCTGCTGATAGTATTCCACACACTATACATTATTTTTTTTTAAATGTTTTTTAGACCACAATGCCAGGGATGAAGAGAGACTGTGGTGGAGCTGCTGCTATCCTGGGAGCTTTCAAAGCCACAATCAAACGGGTCAGACACACATTTTTAATTTACACCTATTTTACTGTATCATTTCAGTTTGGATATTGATATATATTTATCTGTCTTGACTGTTTTTTCTTTTAGGGATTTAAGGATAATCTCCATGCTGTGTTTTGCCTTGCGGAGAATTCAGTCGGACCCACAGCCACTCGCCCTGATGACATCCACACTCTCTACTCTGGAAAGTAAGGCTTAGTTTCACATCGTTAAGTATTTAAATAATCTTGAATACATGAACAATGTTGTGTTGTGGTTTGCAAAGGACAGTGGAGATTAATAACACAGATGCAGAGGGGCGGCTGGTGCTCGCTGATGGAGTGGTGTACGCCTGTAAAGACCTCTCCGCTGACATCATCCTGGACATGGCCACACTCACAGGGGCCCAGGTGAGTCTGGAAGAGAATGGAGAAACATATTCAACTAATCTTGTAATACTTGTAGGTAAGCAGATTTTGAACTAGTTATCTGAACTTCTGGAGTATAGAGCTCAGGATCAAATGCCAATCAAATATTAAAAACCCAAACATCCAGATTCAGACGCCAAAACAATGTTAAAAAGTAAACACAAGAGCTGTGGGACAACTCGATAGTGTTTATTCAAAAGTATTCTCACACAGTGTCATAAAAGTATTTATCAGTAGTGACCCTAAGTTTAGTATTTAGCATCTTAAAATGTTAGGTAAACAAAAATATTCTACTGAACCCCAATAGAACAGTTGATTTACGCTTATATAACATTACAGTCACAAGCTAGTAATTAGTCACATCTTTTATTTTGAATATCAACCCCCTAAACATGACCACAGATGCTCCTATTGATCACAAGCTCCATATAATTAGTTTAATCAATCTTTGGACTTTTTTACCTCCGCCAAGGAGGTTATGTTTTTGCCGGCGTTTGTCTGTTTGTTTGTTTGTCTTTTAGCAACATAACTCAAAAAGTTATGGACCGATTTTGATGAAATTTTCAGGATTTGTTGGAAATGTGAAAAGGAAGAACTGATTTCATTTTGGGGGTGATCCGGAATAAATCCTGGATTCTGGATCACTTTGAAATTTTAGTTAACATTGTGGTAAATGGGGCCAAAAATTTTGTTTCTCAATATTTCGGTTAATTATTGACCAAACCCCATGAAATTTGACTCAGGGATGGACAATGGGATCCTCTTTCATATTTCAAAGGCTGATCCGGATCTGATCCAGAAGACTGATTTTATCGCAATTTATATAAAAAATGGAGGTAGTCCTTGGCGGAGGTCTGCGCTCTCTGAGTGCTTTTCTAGTTCTTTTATACTTTTTTTCCCCAAACCATTTAAAAACACCAATCATTCAAATTGCAATTTTTATTTGATTGTGATCAATTGCCTACTTAGTACTGATGTTTTTTGTCCCCTTTCCAAATTGCATGAAACTGGCCTTCTGTATATTCCTACTTACTATAATCTTTTATAATCTTTCTCTTGTTGTCAGTAAAAGCCTTGAATCTGAGTTGCACCTTTTGTCTGTTTGGACCAGCATTCATCAATGAAAGACTTGCCACTTGTATATCTCCTGCAGGGCATCTCCACGGGGAAGTACCATGCTGCTGTAATGACCAACAGTGACCAATGGGAGGCAGCGTGTGTCCGGGCTGGTCGCAGCAGTGGAGATCTGGCCCATCCTCTGGTCTACTGTCCCGAAATGCATTTCAGCGAATTCACCTCCGCAATGGCCGACATGAAGAACTCAGTCGCGGTGAGTTCAAGTGGAGTTGTTCATAAAGAGTAGAGTGTAGTTAGGGCGGTGTAATTCATTCAGAACTGACAAGATTTAGTCATTTCTCATTGTCTACGATTACATGTGCATTCAGAATCCAATTATTACCAGATTTTCTGACATTATAAGTTTATTAAAATCACATGTTAACAGCAATTTCTTTCTGATCATTTCTTTCTGATTGTGGTCCCTCTGATGACTCAAATCAAATTTTGTGGTGTGCATGTCATTTACTTAATCAGATATGAATTCGATTTCGAATTAATATAGCCATGTCAATTATCAACTTTATTTATATAGCACATTTCACAAATAAAGCTGTTTCCAAAATTCTGCACAGACATCAAAAGGTAAAATGCTAAAACTGTGATCATACCAGTCCTACAACAATAAAACCAGTAAAAATTAAATAAAAGCAAAAGAATGAAAATCATAAAAAAGCGGTGAATAAGAAAAATAAATAAAAGACCCAGAGGACCACACAACTCCATTCAAAGCTTTAAAAACAAACAGTACAATCTTAAAAACAAATTGGAAGCCAGTGCAACATTGAGGTTCACATTTTTTGGTTCCAGTTAAAAGGTGTGCATGACCTGTTCAAATTATTTAAAAGATAAAAATGTTTAATTTTAGATTGTAAAAGGGGCTGCTTTGGAGGAAGAAGTTTTGTAATAAACGGGACATGATTAAATGCCTGTATTTTTTTAAGTTCAGGAAATTCAAATTGAAAGTCAATTTTTGCTTTTTAATAGAATAAAGTAACATTTTTTTCCCCAACTAAACTGATGGGGAAAGTGCATTAGCAATCAACATTTTGCCATCCTCTTTCCTCCTTCCAATGAAACACTAAAGGATGTGGTTACTTTGCCTTAATATTTTTTGGATCCTCTTTCTGTCTAAGTAGTATGAAACATTTACTTGAGCTCAAATGTGTATTGTTTGTAAATATAAAATTGGAACATAAGTCACTTGCAAAAGTAGCTGAGATTATTGACCAATTCTAACTGTAGACATTAGTCTTTTGTGATTATAAACTTAATTTTAGGTCATAGAAAAAATCTGATACAGCTCTTTTAAATAAAAGCTTGAAAATTTGTTTGTTAGAGCTAGATAATGTGTGAATAATAACTGAATTATTGTATACTGTATATTGTTTATCTGTCTTTATCAGGATCGAGAGAATGCTCAGAGCTCCTGTGCTGGTCTTTTCATCGCGTCCCACCTCGGCTTCGACTGGTCTGGAGTCTGGGTCCACATCGACATTGCTTCACCTGTGCACGCCGTGAGTTTTCAATAAAGGATTTTTTATTCTAATGACGCTAAGAACAGTAGCTGCTTTCTGTAAAGTTGAGATGCATCACCTAAGTAGAGCATTGCCGGTGTTTTTAATCATGCTCCTAACATAAAGGATTCTGGAAGTGTGGAAGAAAAGATAATGCATCTCAATCAATGGGACCTACCTACACTTAAATCTCAATCTTTGTGTAAGGTATATTAGTACTTAAAGCGTCATGAGTCTGATGAAGGCGTGTGGACAGGAGAGCAGCCCTGATATAGAAATGTTCTGTGCCCAGCAACTAGTGATATAAATGTCATGTGATTACTTGGTACTTACCATGTGATAAGCTGAACTGAGCTGTTGATCCAGTTACTGTTCACACATTTCCTGGAAGAAATAAAAAAGACTGTACTGCTCAGCCATAATTTTTTTCAGTCACACTTTTTTTATATATATATTTTTGTATAGATAGCCTCTACTCTGCTGTAACAAAAATAATTTTCCATTTGGGTTAAATGTACATGGAGCTTGTCATGATACTATATCAGCTTTTTGTTCGATACATGAACAACAGGAAGGAACAATAGATTTATGGGATAGGGGAATTGATTAATAAGGGTGTACATTGTTTGTAGAAATTCTCTGGGAAATTTTTGGTTATTTTTTGGATATACAATAAGCCTTAAGTAATTACACTCTGTTAATTACACTTAAGTCTGCTTGCATTGTTTCACTTTGCACCAGAACTGAAAGATTCATTGGTTTCAGACAAACAGTTCCTTCCTGATTTAAAGGACTTTGTGAAGACACATAGAGGGTCTTTCCCTATTCAAAAGACAGAATAATTAGGTTTGAATTGCTTTAAGGTGCACTGTGTAACTTTTCCAGTAGAGCGAAATACTTCCATGGATATGTTATTGCTTTATCTAGAATGTTTCACAGTATGGCATTAAACCTTTTCTATCATTATGGAGACCAAACCAGACCAAGTTACAGGTCAGATCTGTGGAGAGGTGACCTCACTCACAGTCAGAATGGCTGTTTTTCTAGGTATTTGTGAGTTGAAAAAGCACCTGTATTTTAATAAATGTAAGGTAGAGCTGTTTAATGTCATATTGTGGAACATTCCAGGCAGAGCAATGGTATATCCATAGAAACAAGCAGGTGATGAAGCCCAGAACCAAAAAGTTAAATAGCGCACCTTTAATTGCTATGACTGTCGAGGACTGTGGCCATAGCCTGAAACTCATGATTTGACACTGTAATCTAATCCTCATTGTGTTTTATTTCTCTTGTTTTCCTCATCTGTTCTCAGGGGGAGCGTGCCACAGGCTTTGGTGTGGCTCTGCTCTTGGCTCTCTTTGGTCAGGCTTCCGATGACTCCATTTTGAACCAGGTTTCTCCTCTGGGCGCCTCCTCCGCCTCTGCACCAGGCGAAGCGATGGAACGGGACTCCAAGCGACGGAGATTAGTTTAAAATAATGTCAAAATAAGAATATGGCTTTATTCTGTCCACTGCCACTGCACACCTACTCACAAAAGCATTTGTAACAATATATAATGATTATTTCACCTATTTTTTGTGTACGAGTTAAAACTACATTATGTAACTTTTGGGGCATTTCCACAAACCTTGTTTACCATCACTTCAATGTAATTATGCAGTAAGCCTTTTCCTGGATCAGTGACCTGCTAATATGGCATGTTTCACTGTCTAGTGCAAGTTCTTCATCTATTTACATTATTTTATGCATACAAGTTAAAGAAAATTTACTTAACGTTTCAGCTACATTTCCACAAACCTTATTGAAGATATCACTTCATATGTAAGTATGCATTAAGCCTTTTCCTGGCTCAAATAGTTGCTTGTGTTTAATGTTTCACACTTTTCATTTGTGTACATGTTAAAGCAAAACTATGTCACTTTTTAGATTGCATTTCCACAAATCAAAACTCAGCAAATTATCTCAAATATTTCTGTTTTTGTGTCATGATACAGATCCAATCTCCTTATATTTATGAGACATAAAGCTACTTTTTTTTTTTTATTTCACCACAACTAAAATAAGTAAGGACCTAATCTACTAATCTACATAGTGTTGCTTTAACAAAAATATAAATACCTCTTAACTGAAACGTTTGTCTTTTTGCTGTAAATCAGAATTGAGCAAAGCCATGCATTTGATGGAAAGCACTTAGTAAGTCTGGTTTGGACTGTTCAAATCTATGAGATTTCTCACTTCTTCTATCCTGAAATAAAGCAGTGCCATCTGATTAAACTGTCTGAAATGATTTTGTGAAATATTAGCCAACTTCCAGTTTCCAAGTTGCACTATGTATGTTTTCTGCTACCTAGTCTCCATGATGATGTTATTGCTCTGCAGAAAATGCTCTACAGTATGATGTTGTTGAACTCATCCTGCATTTACCCTGCATGTATTCCATTACAGGTATTTTGCTCATTTCCAATTTACCCTGTATTTTTTGATACACTATATAACTTTTCTGCAACCTTATGGTTTACATGGCAATTTTATTACTCTGCAGGCAATGTTCACAATAAGTAAGTAATATATCATGCTGTCATCCATCAGGCTCACCTATCCACAGATCTGATCTGGGCTGAGTGTGCCACCACCTTATTTTCATTGAGATGGGCAAGTTCAGTGCCATTCTGTGGAACATTCCAGAACAGAAATTATGTGGAGATAAGCAGGTGGTGGACCCTTCACCAGAAAAATTACATAGAGCATATTAAACTATATTATTTATTTTATTTTTATACATTTTAAGTATAAGTGTCAGAAATAGCGTCAACTATGGTCAATTTTACTTCAAAGTCTTGTTCATAGATTTATTATTAAACAAAACTTGTGACTTTTTTGCTGTTCCCGTTTTACCCATGTGTTTCTGACGTAAGTGTTTTTATGATCACATGACACTGTGCCGGACAGTTTTCTTTATGAAACTCAAACGGCGTCCTCAGTTTCTCACTCTGTTTGTTCTTTCAACCTGCTTCAGACCTATTCGGTAATTTTCATTTTTAGATCCACGGTTCCTTCCTGGAGTCACCATGGCTCCTCTATCCGCCCGGGTCGCGTTGTTTTCGGCTTTTCTCTGCGCTGCGTCCGCTGCAGTGTTCTACAAACCAGACGAGCCCTGTTACGTCCCAAAACCACGGAATAACAACTTTGGATTGAAGTAAGTTTCTTTTTATAATTGCACAAACACTAAAGCTTTATTAATTTCAAGTATATGAAAAACAAATCAGGTTAATTCAATAGTTTTAGCCTGAGCACATTTTAGCAAAATTGCACAATCTGAAATGTCACTTACTAACTGTTGTTTACCATGAAGATTTGCATGAGTTTTGCTTTTACTTTGGGGCTATATATAACTCATATTATTGAAAAATAAGAAATCAATACATTCATTTGAATATATGAAAACATTTGATTTACTATGTCCACATGCTTTTGTCTGAGTGAAGTTAACTGAATTGTCAACCTCTTGATAAGATCCTGTTTAACCACTCAGACAGTTGAGTAAACCAAAAGATGAAGATTAGATTACAAAATGTGGTTCTCGAACACGGAAGTAGGCTAAATATGTAATTTTCTGTCTGTCACATGAGCAGATCGCGCACGCTGGTAACTTGAAGTATGCACATTGTTCACTTGGAGCTACTGCTGACTTCTGCTAATGCTCCAAATTACTACTACTACTACTGTCTACTGTCACTACTGTCTACCACTTCAGGATCAATAAAGTATCTATCTTTCAGTCTAATCTATTTTATTTTATCTTATCCATCTGTCTGTGTATGTAAGTATCTATCTATCCATCTATCTGTTTCGAGTATTTTTATTTTATATTGCAGCCTAGTTGTGGTGACTGTAGTAGTGGTAAACTTTATTAATTCATCTAGCCACAAGAGATTATGTAAACCTGTTACAATGTAGCGTGCTAAGACTACATACTTGTAGAGAAGTATACAAAGTCTCAATTGTACTACTTAAAGATGCGTTATGCAACATTTCTGCTGCTCCACCAGCTTGTCCCCAAGGATTGCTGTGCTTAGAATGTTGCGCAGTATCACTTTAAACTCCTCTCCATGGCAACAAGAAGGTGGTGCCATCAGGCTGAGTTTCAGGCTCTAGAGCAGACAGGTGACTCTGCTTGTCCGTTATAACATAGCCTACTATTATTGTTAATAAATAAGGTTTAATGCCATACTGTGGATAATTCCAGGCAAATCAATAACATCTACATGGAGGCAAGCAGGTGCCGTAATCTCCACCAGGAAAGTTACAAGGTGCACCTCTAATTTCAAAACTGTACTTTCCACAGATATTAACTGTAACTTAACCACTAACCAGGAAAAGGATCTGCTCTGAACTATGACTAAGCAAAACTGTAATTAGATCAAAACAAGACTACACCTGGACTTTTTGGGTAATTTTACTTCCCCATTTGTCTGATACTTAAACCTTATTTTAGCTTTTCTTTTTTTCAGATTGACAGAACATATTCTGTTTACACTAAACAAATGGAGATATCTATTTTTCTCTGCATTGCCCCCACCATATAATCAGTGGATTAAACCAATCACAGTGAAGTGTGAACCAGCTGCAGTAAAAAGTGTAGGCTACTGAAATCCTGAAAACCCAAAGACGGGTTCAAATCATGATGTTTTTTTTCCCATACCTATGTTATCCACCCTGTTAAACCACATATTTTTGGTTTCATTTCATTACAATTTCAATTTCCTAATTTAAAGGTACAGTATTTAACTTTCTGGAGGTGGCATACCATACTCCTTGGAGATAGATCATTTATATGACATGCTGTGGAATATTCTAGACAAAGGAACAACATTTCTGTGCACAAAATCAGGAGGAATTCCTCCTCCAGGCCAAATAAGAATCAGGTTTGTCGAGATGCAAGCACACTAACAAAAACAGCACATTATTTTGCAGTTAGCTCAGCCAAAAAATATATAAAATAAAAATGCTTTTATTTTTCGCAAAAAAAGTTACATGCTGTGGCATTGCGTTGCTCTGTGCAGGACTGTCCCTCGCCCTCATGAGTACCTTAACATCTCAGAGCTGCCTAAGTCATGGGACTGGAGAAACGTGAACGGCACAAACTTTGTGAGCACGACTCGAAACCAGCACATCCCCCAGTACTGTGGCTCCTGCTGGGCCCACGGCAGCACCAGCGCCATGGCAGGTATGGCTACACTTTTTATTTAGGGTCAGTATGCCTGGAACGATAACACTAGGGAGAATTCTATCCAAAAGTTAGGCACAGTGTACATAAGAGACACATTTTCTGATACTTTAAACATGGTGTTTTCTTATATATTATTTCTTAAATAATAATTTCTCTGTACATTCGTACATTCAATAAGTTTTAGATCATTGTATACATGGTTATTAGGTAACAGTTTTTTTTAGCTAAACCTTAAATATAATTATCTTTATTGTGTTTTAGTAGGTACTTTATGTGGGGTGAAACCTGGAGTGGTTGGGTAATAATAACGTGCAGTATTTAATAGTCAATCCCCTTACATTTAAGCTGTGTTTTAGTTTTTTTTTAACAATATCCTGGCTCTATTACACTAATCTGCTCATTTTGAAATGTGTAAACGATGTAGTAGCATTTTGTAAGGCTAGTAGTTATTTTTAATGTATAGCAATGCACATACATCTTGCATCTGTGTCTGCAGACCGTATAAACATCAAGAGGAAGGGGGCGTGGCCTTCTGCGTACCTGTCTGTGCAGAACGTGATCGACTGTGGAGATGCAGGCAGCTGTCACGGAGGAGACCACAGCGGAGTGTGGCAATATGCTAATGTTAAAGGGATACCTGACGAGACCTGCAACAACTACCAGGCTAAAGACCAGGGTAAGGACTAAACCGGGACTAAACCGGGACTAAACCGGGACTAAACCGGGACTAAACCGGGACTAAACCGGGACTAAACCGGGACTAAACTAGGCTAATGTCCAGACTAAGGTCAGAAATTAGACTTAATTGGACCTGAAACCTATCTAGGGCTCTTGCAAGTTTTTTGCATTATTAATTCACTCCTTACGCAGTGATTGAAAGCTACTGTAGCCACAGCTGCCCGACCAATCACACACAGCACATTCATCCATACATTCAAATGTATGCTCATCAGTATTAATAGCGCTGCCTATTGTAGATCAGGCCTATTCGTTTTACAGCCCACGGGACAGACCCAGCCCTCCAAACAATGTGATCCTTAGGAATAGCTCAGTAGCTCTGTGGTTGTAGGCTGTTGTAACATTGTATTTTCTATATGATTGGTGCAGATTGTGCCCAGTTTAACCAGTGTGGCACCTGCACCACCTTTGACGTGTGTAACGTGGTGAAGGACTACACTCTGTGGAAGGTGGGAGACTATGGCGACGTTAGCGGCAGAGAGAAGATGATGGCTGAGATCTATGCCAACGGACCAATCAGGTTTCACAATTTTAAATATCAGTATGGTTATATGGTTATAACAGTTACATTCACTGAATTCCTCTAACCACCAGTTATGTTGTATAAAATTGTTCTTAGTAGTTTTTAGAAATAATTTTGCTGCTACTTGAGTAATATATTTGAACAGTTTAACAGCAGTCTCACTCAGAGTGGGAAAACTAACCAAAACATTTACTGTAAGTGTTGTAACGTGATAAAAGCACTGAAATTATTCAAACTTTTGTCTTTCTTACACCAATCCTTCAGATACAATTTATTTTTTTCAGTCTATGCTTTGAATACCTGAGCCCTTATCTTTGAGTAGTAATTTCCCCTAATAACTTATGATTAGTGTCACCACTACATTGCACTTCTACTTGAGTATTTCAAAGTAACTGTACATTTACTCGAGTAATATTATTTCAAAGTAAAGGGTATTTTTAGGTACAATGATATCCTTTTCCACCCCCCTCCTCTTGTCATACATATTAATTCCCTTGTCTCTTTCTTCTCACAGTTGTGGCATCATGGCAACCCCAAAGCTGGACGCGTACACAGGGGGAGTATACTCTGAGTACCAGGACCCTCCCTACATAAACCACATTGTGTCTGTGGCCGGGTGGGGCGTGGAGGATGGCGTCGAGTACTGGGTCGTCAGGAACTCATGGGGAGAGCCCTGGGTGAGAGTTTACGTTATTTTTCTGGGATGCTATGATGTAAAAAGCAGTATCTTATTGTATGAGAAAAAATGTATGAATTGACCAGTGTTTTCAAGAATGAAATAGAAAGGACTGGAGGTTTTATTGCATTTCCTGAAATGTATGGTTTTTGACTATATATCATGGAGACTGGAGATGCCACCAGACCAAGTTACAGGTCAGATCTGTGGTGAGGCGAGTCCACTTACTTGAAGAATGCTTTTTATCAAGGTACAAAAAAACATTTGATAACATGCATAAGTTTAATACCATACTGTGGAACATTCCTGGCAAAGCAAAAAACATTTTCATGGAAACAAGAAGTGGCGGACATCACACCAGGAAAGTGCATCTTCAAAGTATCACTTTTTAGCTTAGCTTTTGAATGAAATATCATATTTTTTACTTGTTTCTACTATACACATTTTAATTATGTTTATTTATTTTAGGCTTATTTTTAGGATATGCAGTGTTTCCTCTGTAGGGACCCTCTGCATCAGGAGCAGAGGTCGGCTGTAGCTGTCGGGTCTGTCCCGTGGGCTCCTGGTGGAGGGATGGTGCCTGGGCTTCATCTCTCCCCTGGCTCCTGTGGCGGTTCCTGGTGGTGGAGGACGTCTCTCTGCTCCTGGTGTAGACGGCTCCTCTGATGGTGCTTTCTCAACTGGTTCGCCTGTATTCAGCCTCACATTTTACTATGTTTGGGTGTTTGTGTTATTCGGTTGTGTCGAGTCGGGCAGCTGTGGGGGTTGGGTTGGTGGGTGGGTGGAAATGTGGGATTGTTTTTAATCTGTGTAAAGCACTTTGTGTTACATTTTTGTATGAAAAGTGCTTTATAAATAAAGTTTGATTGATTGTGTGACCATATTTTTTTTCATTCAGGGAGAAAAGGGCTGGCTGAGGATCGTGACCAGTGCGTACAAAGGAGGCAGTGGCAGTAAATATAACCTGGCTGTGGAGGAGAACTGTATGTACGGAGACGTCATAGTGCCCAAAGGATATGTGTGAGAAAGTATGACACACATCAGGGAAAAGGCACTTAACTTTTGATCAGTTAAGATGGATTTACTTTATCTGATATTTTCAGTATCATCATATTGTGATTCAGTGCTTTTGTGTTCTAGTCAGACACTTTTCACCATCCACTTCTCCTATTGCTCAGCCTCTGTTGAGCTCTTGAGTGTTTTTCTTAAAGGCAATTTAAAGAAACTAAATATACATGAATAGTGATGAAATCCTGTTCACAACCTCTCTAGACTCTGAATAGCCCCTAATCTGATGTTCCAAATATATGTAGTACACAGCTTCTTATTTTCTGCCAGTAGAGTGAACAGAAACTGCACTTAAATAGAAAATCAAACTTTGAAACCAGTTAGTTAATTATTATTGGACAAGTTCATTATAGAATATGTATAGTATATAAGCTACAGTATATAAGTAAATTTACTAAAAAACTGCTAGAAGATTAATATTCTTAAAAGTCAACTTAACTAATCTACATTCACATTTTTGCAGTGACCTCACATCTTATCACAGCCTTCATCAAGCCAAATCAGGAATTTTGTAAATGTTGTATTTTTTATTTTGAAAAGGGAATTTGTGCCATTTGTTTCAGTGGATCTTTGATGTGTATGTTTAAAGGGTTTAAAGGTTTGGGTTTAAAGATGTACTCTGTAACTTTTTTCTGGTGGGAGGGGAAGGTCTGCCACCTGCTTATCACCCTGGAGATGTTTTTGCATTGAATGCTCCACATATATTCAATTCCTGGTATTTTTATGGCCAACAATATGCATTCTCACTGTGAACTAATTGTCTCCATTGCGAAAGGGCTAATGCCATTGTGGAACATTCGAGACAAAACAATTAGATATCCATGAAGACAAACAGGTGGGAAAAGTTACTTTATGTACCTTTATCTGTAGTAATGGCTGTTTTTTTATGATTTTAGGATTTTGAATTTAGTCTTAAACCATCTCAATTTTGTACTCTGGGAATATTTTTAATGCCAAAGAACTGCCTTGTTGGCCACGCTTACTGTTGTGCATTGATTTGTTATAAATATTGCATTGCACTTGATCGACTTCTCCATCACAGGGCAATGATGTGCCTTATTTGTACTTTTGTTCTTAAATGAAAGAGCCACACATGCTGAAGCAAACTTTTTTTAATCAAACTGGCAATAAAAATAAAATATTTACAGTTTGTGTCTGTGAATTTTCTATTTCATTTTCCAAAATCAAACATAAAATGGGATGTTGGACCAGCATTAACTTGATGATTTGAGATTCCTTGAACCACTTTTGAAACCACTGCAGATAAGGAAACTAGGACTAAACCAGGTTTTGCCAAGGTCTACCCTAATTCTAATCCAGAACTAAAACAGGACTAGACCAGGACTAACCCAAGGTCTAAACCAGGTCTAAAATTTTAGCCCAGTTTCTCTGCTTCAAACTAATTTCAGGACTAAATGCTAACTTGCTCTTTGTATATTGATACTCTCTCATCAACATTCCCTCGGGGTGTGATGTTAAATGTAGGCACTGCTCTGAGTATTGTTAGACTTTAATTTGAGCTGTGTTTTAACACAAAGCTCAAATTAAAGAACTGACCAGAAAGAACTGGCTTAGTTGAACTACAACAGGTGAGATGATTTGTGCTGGTAAAGTCCCTCTCAAATAACATTAGTCACAAGCTAGTGAGCAATAGTGAACCGTTTTTTTAGCCAGTGACCCTCAGCTTTTTGTTGAAAATTGTTGATACTCTTAAACCCTTTTTGGCTGTGTTTACTAATGTGTGTAAGGAAAGGAAGAAAGAGAATTTTACATATGAACTGCATGATTGCTCACTAGAAAAGTCACTTCAGTTTTCATTAGCAAATTGTAAACTCCAATTATCTGAGTCAACAATTAATGCATGAAATGACATGCATGTGATTTTTGTATTGGTTTAACATTTCAGATTTCAGTTTCCTCAAATGTTATTGCACATTGTGAACTAAGTATTTATCTTTAAAATATAATTCATATAACAATACATTTGTAATTGCATTATTGGTCCGAAAATACCATCCAAAATCTTCCAGTAATGGTTCGGTCTTAAAAAAACGTGTGGCCACATTCTCAGATTTATTAAAACAGCACAAATCAATATATAACATAGAAAATCAAATACACAGAAACTTAGCTGCTCTTTAGTATTAAGCCGTAACCTCCAGCACCAGACACAAATTGTCCTTGGACCTTTTCCCATTCATTTGATGAGCTCTGATCCTAGTCCAGACTGGGTCCTGTTTTGAGACCAGCCAGTCTATGGTCTGTGTTTGAATGAAATGTCCTTCAAAGATGTTGTCAGTTGATCATGATGAAGTTGGATTTACAGTGAGCTGAAAACAGAAAGAAATGTGTTAGTCATTAAATCTGTATTAGGAAAACAAGGTTATTTTTTCTAATTAGAACAGAATTGTTCTCAAAATTAAAATAACAACAGTGTGGGGCTGCTTTTCCTCACATTGAGTAGTTTTTGAAGCCTTTTGTTTTTTTGAGCTCAATTTTTAACGTCATATCATGGGCTTTTAACAAACTAAGTGTGCAGCATGTGTCGTTCAAGGATTGTGTGAAATGAGCGGTTTGGTTTTCCCGTATCCATGGAGACTATGCAAGAGGTTAGCTAAGGAGCTAACTATGGACATATAAGATGAGATCTCCCTCTCTCTCATGTAGATCACCCCCAGCATAATGTCACAGCAATGTATCAATGGGGATTCTATGATGTTATACTGTAAATACTTTCCCTCTAGACTCACCGATGAACTCTGCCACTGGGTCATTTTCTCCTTCGGCTCTGATGGTTCCTGCGATGCTGTCGTTCTCTAGAATCGGCAAAAACTGCACGAAGTCTGAGGTGTACGGAGGCGCGATCACGTCCAAAACCTGGAAATTAGATAAAACTTATCAAATACAACAGATCACACTTTCACATGGGGAAGAGCCAAAGAAATATACAGATGCATAGAAAGGGATGTTTTTTTTCCCTTAAAAAAAGACTGACTAGAGTTTGATAATTTATAGCAAACACAGAAAAAAAAAGTTTTAAGATCTGAAAAAGTCAAGCTCAAGAAAAAAAATACAAAATGGATTTAAACAGCATTTTCAGGAGTCTGTGATCAATACAAGTGTTCATGGTCCTGTCTGAAATTCTATTAATACAATTTGATCCACTTTGTAATAATAAGTTAATTGTGTTTTAATGGGGGGGGAAAGCCAAAGTATTAATATCAGTTTTGGAGCTGGTAAAGCTAGTTTATGAATTCTTGTAATAATTCTTACCAAGATATATTTAACCAGCCACATCACAAAATCAGTTTAATAAAAAGACAGATTTTTCCCACCCCATCACTAAACCCAGTAGGATTGTGGTGTTAAAAAGGACATGCGTGAGCAGCTCTTGCCTCTGTGACGAAGTATCTGATGAGGGAGATGTCAGTGTTGAGTTTCTCGAGACACTTCCTGATGTAACCGACAACCGGGAGAACGTAACCACGACTGAGGAGGTGAACCATACGATCTAACAGAGTTTTCTTCAACTCCAACTACAAATAACACAGGTACAGAGAGAAGAGGGTTACAATTAAACTAGTTTATTTAGTTATAATGCAATTTTTTGTTTATGCTATCTTATAATAATATAGCCATGCTAATATATTATTACCAATTAAAATGTTATTTTTTTTAGACTGAACTTTATAACTTAAAAAAACGTGCAGTATTTAACTTTCTGGTTCAGGGTCCATCACCTGCTTGTTTCTATGGATATGTCATTGCTCTGCCTGGAATGTTGGAATGGTCTCCATAATGAGAGAAAGGTTTAATACGATACAGTGAAACATTCTAGACAAAGAAATAACCTGGGGAAAGTGTTTGACGGACTCCGCCGGAAAAGTTACACAACGCACCTTTAAAATGTAGTGTTTCTGTAGCACCTGTGATGTGTAATAAGGTTGATAACTGAATAACTTAATTAGATTAGTACTTGAATTGCACTGTATGCAGTAAAAATGTTTTCTAAAGTGAAAATGTAACCATATTGGATGATGTGATAATTGCAAAAAAGAAAAACCTGCTCCATGACGTCAAGTTGTGAGTGTTCAGTCTCAAACAGTTTAATGAGGAGCTGAAGGACCTGAGGGTGCAGCAGCTGGTGACATGTGCAGATCTGAGAAGAGAGGTTTAATACAATACATTATCTCAACTTAAAGCCAGGTCTTATAATTCATGCATTATTCAGGCAGTTAAAACTTATTAATGCTGTCTTTAAAGTGATCTTTATTTACCTCATCGAGCAGAGCCAGATGAACAGGAGTGTGATCTGTTTGCAGTTGAAAATACCTCGGCTCTGACACAGTCCAGTCCACCCACTTTAACACGCCCATCGCCACCACAGGGAAACTGGAGAGAATACAATAAAATATCAGTAATCCACATAAACAGTTAAACAGTATCACATTTTCTGCTCTGTGCTGTGGTTACCTGCGCATTCAAAATCTGATAATTATTTGGAGCTAAAAGATTATTCACATGAAATGTAAATGCAAACTCATCTGAAGTCTTTCTGATCATTACTCACATCAAATTGTGCAGGTTACAAGTCATTTCATTTTAAAGGTCTAAAAATCAGATAATCAGTAGATTGTGCCTGTAACCACAGCCACTGTGGTGAACATGAATTTTCTGTACATATTTTCCAAAAGAAAACATTACATAAAATCAGTTATCAGTGAAATTATATATATATTTTTTATTCTCCATCAATCAGGATGGTTGACAATTCAAATTCTATTGAGAAAATGTTTAATGTTGTCTTTTGTCCTTTGTCAGTTTTGATACTTCTGTCTAGTTTTGAATACAAAACATTTCATTTTTATGACAACTTTAGCCAGAAAAAGATTTTGAGAATATGTATTAATTTTTTTTATATCTGTTCATTGCTCACCGTATGCACTGATAGAGAGTGCCCAGTTCTGCCACCAGCTCCGTAGCTCCTTTGTTTTCGTTACAGCACAGATTATGAACCGTTTCTATGGCTTTAGACGTGGACTTCAGCTCATCTTTGTTTATGTTCACACGTTTGTTCTGGAGGAAAATGAGAGAAACCATCATGGGTAAGATCTGAACTGTTTAGTTTAGCTTAAAATAGACTTTATGGTTCCTGAATTTGACCAGTCAATCAAGGCTGGTCAAAGAGGTGCAAAGCTGTATACATGCCTAAAGTTACTCTCCGAGTGTTATTGTACCTTCTTCCATGTTTCGACGACACTGGCTGCATAAGCCAAAATGTGGATGTATTTGTGCTTATGATCCTGGTTGATTTTTGACCCAGGTTTAAACAGAGACTGCATGAAGAGGTCCAAGAAAGCAGGAACCCTGATCTGAAGCAAAGACAGAACTTATTATAAGAGCTTGTAAAATGCATAAGTCAAGTAAATTGATATAATTGATATAATTTCATAATAATAATTAAAAAAAATTCTAGAGATGCACAATAATTTGACCACTACAAACATAAAAAATATCCAGAATCCCATTTAACAAAAAAATCTTTACTCTGAAGTGTGTGGGATTCTTGTGTTTGGTTTATCAGTTTCTCTAATTCTTCTCAAAAATCTAGCAAATCGATTTTCCAAATAAATAAAACACTCTTTGTTCACCAGTTCAACGGGAGGCGGGTCCATGCTGCTGAACATTTTGAAAAGCACAGTGATGTCGGCCGGGTTCAGAGCTCCTTTGGACAACATGGCCCCCAGAGCCTGACAAGCACGAGGATACGCCGCTGCTGTGCCCAGGGCCAAGGTGATTTGACTGGCATCATGCCCTCTGAGAAAAGAACATATTATTAATTTAATACAATAATTAAGGTGTATATGGGTTGATTTGTATTAAGTCTTGTAAGAAAATTAACAATTTTTAATTTTTATTTTTTTTAAATAAGCATTTATATCCATGTTAAGGATTATACTGAATTGTGTTTTCTAATCAATTGCAAATCAATTATATTTCTAATAATAAGGTATTTATTACTTCACTTTTGAGGTTTTAAATGAGTCTCTAAAGGGCAAAGTATAGTTCTGGGTTGACTCAACACACACTGCCGCCATTGCCTTGTCAACATCATTTCTGATTTATGGTTCTGCATCATGGTCTATGCACAGGGAAGTAATTCACCGCCACAACGCTAGGGGGTGGTGAGTTGTGAAATCACATGAACTTGTTGGAGTGTTAACCTGCCGGTTACTGTGGAGACACCGGTCATTGAACAATGGTGACTGAGTGGGAGAGGACGCTGATGGAGCTGGAGCTGAAAGATATCGAGGAACAAATGCTTCTGGTACAAATGTTGGCAAAGAAACGAAAGAAGACATAGAAGGTGGGCTATACGCGCTTTGAATGAGTCAAGCAGAGAGGAGTACCGGAAATGTATGTAGAGCAGATGTAGAGCGGACCAATCACTGCCCTTAATGTCTTAAATGTAAGTAATTGGACAATAGGGACATGTTAAACTTAGGTGTGTCTCTAATCAGCATCACAGGTGTCTTCAAAACTTGTCCTCAGTCAGTCTGCCCGTTTAAAGGCTGACATGTGTCATTGTGCTGTTTGGAGACATGATAGATAAAACACTGAACATGGACCAGAGAAAGAGAAGAAGAGAACTGTGTCAGGAGACTAGAAAGAAAATGATAGACAAGCAGGTTAAAGATAAAGGCCATAAGACCATCTCCAAGCAGTTTGATGTTCCTGTGATTACAGTTACACGTGTTCTTCAGAAGTTTAAGGTCCACAAGACTGTAACCAACCTCCCTGGACATAGGAGCAAGAGGAAAATTGATGACAAATTGAAGAGAGTACGAATACAAATGGTAACCAAAGAGCCCAGAACAACCTACAAACAAATTAAATGTGAACTTGAAGGTTGAGGTACTTCAGAGTCAGATTGCACCGTCTGTCACCGTTTATACCAAAGTGGACACCACTGTTGAGAGCAAATCATAAAAAAGTGAGACTGGAATTTGTCACAATGCATATGGACAAGCCACAAAGCTTCTGGGAGAATGTCCTTTGGACAGACGAGACAAAACTGGAGCTCTTTGGCAAGACCCATCAGCTCTATCTTCACAGATGCAGAAATGAAGCAGACAAGAAAAGAACACTGTCCCTGCTGTGAAGCATGGAGGAGGCTTGGTTTTGTTCTGGGGCTGTTTTGCTGCATCTGGCACAGTATGTCTTGAATCTGTGCAAGATACAACAGAATCTCTAAACTATCAAGGTATTTTGGAACGAAATGCGTTGCCTAGTGTCAAAAAGCTTGGTCTCAGTCGTAGGTCATGGGTCTTCCAACAGGATAATGACCCAAAACACACAGCTAAAAACACCCAAGAATGGCTAAGAACAAAACATTAGACTGTTCTTCTGTGAGTCCATATCTCAGTTCTATTGAACATCTGTGAAATGAGCTGAAACATGCTGTCTGGAGAAGGAATCCTTCAAACCTGAGACAACTAGAGCAGTTTGCTCATGTGGAGTGGGTCAAAATGCCAGTTGACCAAAGCAGAAGTCTCATTGACAGTTACAGAAATTGTTTGATTGCAGAGTTTGCCTCAAAACTTGTACAACAAAATATTACGTTAAGGGTACCATCATTTTTGTCCAGGCCAGTTTCATTATTTTGTTTTTCTAATAATTCTGTTTAACCACAGGTGAAAAAAAATGTTTGATTTTCATTAGACAATTTTCAGTACATTTTTTGTATTATTGCTTTTATCAGTTTCAAGTTATTTCAGTGATGACTGTCAGTTTTTCATTCATTGCCAGAGCGGTACCAACAATTTTGTCCACGACTGTATTTTCCGTATAGACTCATACCTCTCATGAGCAGATTTCTGGACCTCTTGGCCGATCCTACGCACGGCCGAGCCGCCCTGCTCCTCCTGGGCCAGGATCGACATCATGGCCTGAGCAAAGAGGTATGTGTGCTCCCCGTGACACACCATTTTCTACAAAAAGGCAGAGACAATGTTAGGGCCTGGGTCAGAGCAGACCTTGGCATTTTAGGGCCCTAAAGTCACATGGTTATAATAGTATCTTAACACGGAGTTAATAATAATAATAATAATATTAATAATAATAAAAGATTATAGTATTTTCAATTCAAATAGAGGAACCAACAGCGAACTCAGGCAGGTTCTTCTCCAGGTTCTCCTCTCCTCCATCGAGCAGCGTCGACAGCGACGTCCGCAGGACTCGTGAAAACACTTCCAGCTGCTGACAGGCCGTGGACACAGACGTGATCTCGCCCTGGTACCCTGCATCTGAAATCAGCTATGCAGACAGAGCACACGTTAAACAGAGTTAGAAGAGGTGCAATTCAAAATTAGGCATGCATTTTGTTTGATTTGTACCTTAACAGTGAAGTTGAGCATGAGGCAGTCTGGATGAGCCTCGGCTAGTTTGTAAAACAGATCTCTCCACGTGGTGTGAGCAATCATCTGTTCCAGCCATGCAGGGGTCTGAAAGAGACAATATTACTTACGAGGAGGCTAATTGTTTAGGACACACCTCGCATTATGTGGAGTGAACAAATAATGCAAAGTAAAGAGTCTAAGTATGAGTGTGTTTATCATTACAGCACAGTTATTCCTTTAAGTTAACCTTCTCTCACCTCTCCCTCCACGGTGAAAATGGAGTCTGCTTTCTGTGGATCAAAATGTTTTATGAGGAGACTCTTCAAGTGGTTTTCCACTCTTTCCTGAACCTGAGCCGGCTCCACACCTTTTGAGAAAAAATTAAGAAAGATTTGTAAATAATTATAATTAATTTATAATTACATAAAGATACAGTGCAATACATAAAAAACAAAGTAATAATAGCTGACTAAGTGCTTACAGTTGTTATGCTGTGTGTTAGTGAAAGAACAGTATATAGCATGCTTAGAGCCTGTGTTGGTTCTAGATAAGATAACTTAATAAAATGTTAATTATTTAAATAATGAACAAATTATGATTGATTAAATTACTTGCTGCAGTCGCTTATTGCAGTACCACATACCCATCTGAATGAGCCACTCTGCCAGGAGGTTAACAGTTTGAGCCACAGCCGAGTAGTTTTCAGAGAGGAGCTGGATGACATGCTCCGGAGACCCACCAGCCTGGAAATACCTGAAGAAATAAAGTTGCTTTTCAATCTTACCTAAATTCTAACCATTGAATCAATTATAAGATCAAATAAACCTTTATTTGTCCCACAATATTGATTTAACATAACTTACATTTTCAAAGTATTAAAAATTGCTGGTTCCATGATATAGTCTCTGCTGGAGAATTTTTCGAGACATGCTTCCTGAATTTTGCCATCATCAACATAACCATCCTCCTAGAATAAGTAAAAACCCATTTTACCCAACACAATACCAAAATAACAGAATAATTTCATGTTTTACCAGAATTAGCAGAAACATTTAAAACCTTACAGTAACCGTTAATTTTAGACATAACTAAGTAATTTTTTTTTCTCTCTTCATGCTGCAATGTTGCAGTGTATATGCATATGTTGTACTGCATACCAAGTTGCAGGTAAACGTTGATATCGATTAATTGGTTGTGAGTGGCAATATGTCGTATATCTGTGTTTGTTCTGTTAAAAATCTTTAAGAATATGGGGAGACTACATGTCCATATTTTATCATAAACGTTAGCTTCATGCTTTGAATCAGGAATACAAATGCATGAACTCCTTGAGATATTTTCTGCAGATATTTTTTAAATATCCTGTAATTATAAATACGACATCAATCAAAAGCATAAATCCACATTTGCTCTTTTGCAGATTACATTATGGCATGAATCTGTACGTGCAAATCTATACAAATACCTGACTGCTAAAATTAATTGTTTGCTAACTCTGCTACTCAGATTCAACAAGTTTCTCACCATGCCGCCATCGGGACCCTCCCAGTCCGCTCCTCCTCCACCGCCTCCGCCGTAATATTCATCGTCCATTCTGATACAAAATTACACGACCAAACTACAATATAATATCTAAATTTAAACTCTAGATTTACGCAAAAAAATGCAATGAACAGTTAGCCTAGCTAACACGGCTAAGCTGCTAACAACAATTGCGAAAATGGCGACGCAGTGACGCACGAACCACGCCCCCTGATGGGACGTCTGTGACGCGTGAGGCCGCGTTATAAACATAGCATGTTTTTTTTTTTTTTTTTTTAATTACACACAACTGGATGCATAAGACATAGTATGGCATAGTATACCATGGATTATAGTTCTATAGGTTATACCTGTTTGAGTAGCTCTGCATGAATGTATTGTATACATTTAGTGTTGTAGGTGCATTACATATGTGTAGGGCTGTCATGTCATTCATATGGTTTTATATGCATAAGAATAATTATGCACAAATACACAAATGAAAAATTATTTACACTAACACAAAAACAGATGCTCTTCTTTCCACAGAGCAACTAACAAACTTAAGTGAATAAAGCAAAGAAAGCAAAGATCTGCTTTGTTCTTTTCAGGATGAACCACAACAGGGAGAACAAGGCTGAACTTTACAGAAGGTATGACACTATGACTAAAAAGTGACATCCAGAAAGAAAACAGATGTGAATAGAGGTTAACACACACTCACTGTTTACACTGTTTATGCATGTACACTGCATTTTTAGGTTGAAATTCATGGAAACTGGATTGTTATCTATGGACGTCATAATGCAATTAAAAAAACTTTTCTTACCTCACAACTCTAGATTTATGGTAAAATATTCACATTTTATTTGTGTATTTTCAGAAAAGGCCACAAAATTGAGAACTAAGAGTAGGACTCAAGTAGGAGTAAGTATATTCAGTCCAAACACTACACTTTCTTTAAAATGTTACCCAGGTAAATGTAACACATTTTCAACTGTAGCATAATTGCTACAAACACAGTTTGTAGTCAAATGTGAGTAGATTAGATAAAGGGTTGGGATAAGGATAGGCCTGATTTTTGTTTACTATGATAAGGTGGTTTAGCTTGAAATCTTCAGTTTTTTCTCAGGTGACTGGCTCCACCTTTGGCATAGAAGAGTCCAGAGGGCAGTTTGCTGTGGTGATAACATCCCCAATTTCCTCGAACGGCAAGAACCAAGGATGGCAGGAGATAAAATTGAGGTTAACACACACTCCATATGTGTTTGTGTTGAGTAGTATTATTTATTTCAAAATAAATTACTCCACAAAGTAGTGAAAAATCGGACTGTTCCAGAGCTTAGGGCCAGTCACAGAAAAGGCCCCTTCCTCCTGATTTTAAGTCTCGTCTTACCCTCGGACTGACTGTGCATTAAAATTTGTAACCAAAAGAAAAGAAAAAAATTTTTTTTTTTCTTTTCTTTCAGCGTCTGTTAAGGGTGGGTGTGGGGAGGATGAATTGGGGTTTGGGAATGGGGAGGAGGGGGCTTAAATGTGGCATTTGTATACTTGTATATTTTGTGGCATTATTGTGTGGCTGTAAGACCACAATATAGGAAAAAAAATAAAATTAAATGAAATATATATGACAAAAAATATTTTTAACCGAGTGTTGACAAAAAAAGGATTCACAGTGCACGTCTTACCTTATTTGCAATATGCAAATACAAAGAATCACAATGTGATCTATGTGATTATCACATACATTAGTAAGTTTGTGATAAATTCATACATAAGATGCTCTCAGTGGGGAAATACATTCAGTGTATTCAAATATTACTGTTTAATATTGTATACCGAGTTCCACCTCCAATAACTTAAATTTAAACCATTGTTGCTCCAAGTTAGTCAAGACCTGAGACAATATACACTAGCTATTGCATCGCTGCATTTGACCCAATCTTCAATAATTCTGGGCCCACCTGTCCAGAGCAGTGGGCGACTTGAGCTTTGTGGGATTCTTCTAGGCAGATGAATCAAACTGAAGTAATGGCGTTTTTATGCTTTAGGAACTACACAATAAATCACCATAAGATTTATGTACTAAACCTTCATTTTTACTGCAGCTCAAAAGTAGTCAGACTCCATACAGACAGGAACAAACGTTTTTTATTTATAATGCAAACTGCAACATATGAATTATATTATTTACCCAAAGGAGCAGGATAAAGGTCCTATACCCGTGGCATTAGTCACACTGTGTTAATCTAAGTCCAACACAATTATATTTTCCATTCTGAGTTCGAAAGGAAAGTCCACCCTCAAACAAAATGTACATTCCTTAAGATGCAGGACAAAATTCATCCTCCATCTTTCGGTCCAACGTCGAGATCTGCACGGACAGCGCAAAGAAAACCCTGACTTCAAAACCAGGTCAGAGACATTTAAAGGTGCACTGTGTAACTTTTCTGGTAGAATTTAGCTCATTTAACTCCATGGAGACAAGCAAGTCAAACCACTAGTTACAGTTCTGATTTGTGGTGAGGCAACCCTGCTCACAGTAAAAATGGATGGTTTCAAGATTTTGAGCAATAAAAATTAAATATAAATGAAAAAATACAAGAAAGCTCTTTAACATATCTTCCTTGCCATACTGTGGAATATTCCAGGTAAATCAATATAATCTCCATGGAGACAAGCAGGTGGCTACAGACAGACCATCAACCAGAAAAGTTACGTAGTGTAGCTTTAAGGGACTAGGCAATATATTCGTGCAAACCTTATGCACAAAGGGTCACTACTCTAAATTACAAGTAGTGTCAACAGATTCACCCAAATCGTTAAATATCAAACAATTGATGAAGTGAATTTCATGTGTTGGGTTTTGACAAAGGCCTCTGAAGGAATTGATAGTTTAACTGAACAAAATTTGCTCAGTTTTTGAAAGGATAAATAATATTTACAAGACAAAGGAAAAAGTCCATAATATATTGATTTGGGGAAAAAAAGACCAAAATATTTTTAAAAAGATGTCAAACTTTTTTGGTTCAAAAGTTCAAAAAAGCGCTGCAAACATCTCTCTTGTCTTTCTGTACATCAAGTCTTGGAAAGTTAAAGAGGAAAGGGTTAGTTCAGTTGATTGTACGGCTAAAAAAATCGCCAGGGAGCAGACAAAATACAGTGATATAGAGAGGAGTCTGTTCTGGAAAAGTTCTGAAGTAGCACCATGTTCACAGCAGGGGGCGCACACAGGGTTGGGGGTCAGGAGGTCAGAGGTCAGGGGTGGTGAGAGTTCATTTGCCCCGGTCGTAGTCGGGTTGTGTGCAGCTTATACAGATATAGTCCTCGCTCTCGGCCCGTTCAGACGACAAGCCCACACACACCTGATGGAACCACTGATTACAGCTGCCGTCGCACTGCACCCAGTTCACCTGAAACACATGGATGGAGTGGTGTTATTAAACAGCAGTCGTTTTATATTAGTGCACATAGAACAGACATTCTAGTACTATAGACATTGAACCTTATCTGCTGAGTCTAGACCATTTTTCTATACAAAAGGTTACTATTAGTACAAAATGCAAAAAAGAAGACTTCTTAGCAAACAATCCTGATTAATTTTAAATAATAAAAAATATCTGACACAAAATGTAACAATGTATATGTACTTAAAGGTGCACATCTGTTAAATTTCTTTTAAGGGTGATTGGTATGGGTATAAATGGGTATAAAATGTGGAACATCCAGGTTGTACCTCGTCTCCCTCTGGCTCCCTGCACCACGGTGCTGCACACAGAGAGTAGTCCTCCTCTGACTCTGAAGGAGCTGGGTCAGAGCTATGGACCGGGGAACAGCTGCCCCTCCGGCTCTCCTCCCTCCTCTCCTCTCTCCGCTCTTCTCTCCTCTCCTCCCTCCTCTCCTCTCTTCTTTCTTTACTCCTCTTTGACTTCTTTTTACGAGATTTCTTAGCCTTTTCACTGAGTTGAGAGTCAGAGCTGTCCTTGCGCTTTTTGGTCCGTTTGCTCTGACCGTTTTCCTTCGAAGGACTGGTACCTCCATTCTGTAACGAAAAGCACATTTGTGAATGTTGCTGCTTGAACACATTATTAAATGGTACGGTAGGTTTTCTAAATGCAAATTTAATCCCTCCTGGCTGCCAGAGGGGCTGTGCTGAAAATCTCAAAATGAGCATACAAAGGGAGTCAGTCATTGCTTTCAGTAACACCCTATGGAGGTGCCATTTTGTTTCCCCAATGCAGTTCTGTGTTGAGAGAAAAGTGACGCTCTGGCAGACACTTGACATTCAAAGAACTATAGTGACAATTAAAGTTCTTGTTTTATTATAACAATATATTAACACATATATTTTACTGAGTGTAATTTGGATTTGGAAGCATTTTACCATAAATCTATTCCACCTTGAAATTATTAAATGAATAAAACCTGAACCTGAAGATTGCCCAGACTTTGACAGATTTCTTACACTTTGCCTTTGCCCTTGTCCTTGTATATACACAGACATTATAATAGCAGTGCAGGTGTGGTTGTACCTTCCCGTGCTGTGGACTCCTCTTGTGGTGATGGTGGTTTTCTCTCTCAGGGCTGTGTTGGGGGGAGGGTGCAGGGGGCGGGCTCAGTTTGTACAGTAAATATCTGTGAAGCTGCTCTGTCTCTGGAAGGGTCACCTGCAACAGGAAGCCCTCCACCAGCAACTCGTCCAACTCCGACGGAAGAGCTGAGGGGAAAAAAGGTCTTGTCTGATTCAATGTCATAATGTAAGCTCCAACAAAGGTTAAAGTACACGTTATTGTCTAGGTAGGAAAATTTGTCCTCTGCCTTTGACCAATCCTTCAATGCAGATGGGATAACTAACCCAGACACTTAGAACCCAACCTTCTTGCTGTGAGGCGAGAGTGCTATCCACTATGCCATTGTAAATTTGACTTACTTAATAAGTAGGAACCAGTAGGAACCACTCTTAATTCATTCTTAATTACACACTACTAAATGACACAGTGATGTCAAAGCAGCACTGTTCTCACCATGCAGTGGAATAGAGGGGTGCTCTGTGTAGAAAGGTGACCCATGACGTTCCCAGTCTAAACGTGAAGGCAACCGGTGGCTGCCTCTTCCCTGAAAGAACAAACAAACAAAAGTGTCATAAACCCACAGGTCTTATGAATGTCAGAAAAGGAGCAATCTTTCATGATTTTTAACATAGCGTTGCTTGTACCTTCCCCAGTCTCTCCAGCAGCCCGTCAGAGCAGGCTTGTTGGACTTTGTGTTGCCATCGGACCGTTCTCTCGATCAGGAACCTCAAAGCATCTCCTTCAGGCAGCCTCACTCTGATCCTCTGCAGTGACGCCAGCAGAGGGAGCACTTTGTCCAGAGGAGGTTTCCTGGACCTCTGGCAGAACGGGCAGAACCAGGCGTGCCCGTTCTCCGCTCCCTCTGCCCGCTCTGTTCGCTCTACCTGCACACAGCTGCAGTGGAACAGCTCTCTGCACAGCTCGCACTGCACCATGGCTCCAGACGGGGGCTTCTGGCACACACAGGCGCCCAGGGAACCGCAGTCTTCAGCCATAGAAAGGCGGGACTCATTGGAAGTTCGGAGTGCCAGAAGAAGCTCCATCTCTGTGTGGTGGACTTCTGCTAAAGTCGCCATCTAAAAATGAAGATAAAATTAATGTCTTGATATTGTTTTAAATGCTAAAATGTGCCTGCAAATGTCTTGGTTGAGGTAAGAGGTTGGGGATTAGAGACACAAGAACACAAAAGAAGTATGGATGATAAAAATGAACTACAAAATTAAAGAAATATCACTTTACACTGTTGTTTTAGAGATTATACTAGATGTTTTTCTCTTTATGGGTGTTTTTTTTTTTAAATAGCTTAAGTTGTAGACCATACTCAAAATTTAAACAAGGTATATCTCCAAAACAACAATTCTGATACATCTCCCACACAATGTTATTGGTATAAACTGATGGGGTCAAAGGTTAAATATGCACCTTTTCTGGTGGTAGGGTTGGGCAACTGCTTGTTTGGAAATGCCTCTCTAGAAATATGACCAGCTTGTCTCCATAGAGATGTCTAAATTTAATGTCATACTGTAGAAACCTATCAGGCCTTTCAAGTCTTAAAATTGTTGTAGTGTCAATAAAAATGTGGAATTACGGCGAGGTGGGATGTTAGCGAGGTTGTGTGGCTAATTATGTGGTTAGGTTGTATCTATGATGAGCCATAGAAGTGATTTATTCATCCTTCAGCTCAATAACAACTATAAAAGAAAAGTACCCACGATATACTGATCCAAAAAAAAAAAAAAAAAAAGATTGTTCCATCTATCATTCACTGAACATGAGTCGATATAGTAATGATGACAGGCTTAATTTTGACAGAATGCAGTCACTCACCGCAGAGGCAGAGTCTTTGCTTTCTGAAAGAGCCTTCTCCACGTCACACACAGAGTCCAGCCTTGAAGGGCTCCTTTTACTCTGAGGAGAAGCTTCTTTTCCTTTTTTAGACTTTGACCTCAAGAGTCCAGGGCCCACATCACAGCGAGGACACAGCACCTAAAGCACATTTGAAGTTTAAACAGTCATCTTAGACTCTTAGAGAAAGTGGATTATTACATTGACATTTCTGGGCTTGTACTTGTATACCCTGCAAAATTATAATATACTCTTTCTTAAAATCACCTTAATTCAGCATATTTATCGTAGTTTTGTATAGGTTAATTTTGTTTGACTTATTTTCTTAGGATTCTTAGAATTTCTTAGAACTCAAGTACAATTACTACAATTATAAATCAGATAAGTCTACGAAGTTACCTTTCTAAATACTATTACTTGAGTAAAAGTTTCACTCCATTTTACTTCTAACCTCTGAATTCAAGTAATTTTAACTTAGACATTTGTTTTATTCAGGGTAATCTCCACCATAAAGCTTTCAGATCCTGCGTTTACCTCGAGCAGAGAGTAGTGAGAGTTTCGTAGGAGGAAGGTTTTGGCTGCGCTCTCTTTCCACGTCTGGACATCACTGACAAGAGCCTCCAGTCGACTCAGAGGGTCCAGTCTGACCGGGATCGACTCCGCCCTCTGCACCAGGTCCAATAGACTCTCCAGCACAGGGATACGCCCACCCAGCTTTGAAACATAATCAAGCATTAGCACAAGGTGAGATGATAAATTATATGCATTAGTCTTTAACAGTGCATTTCCAGATGCTCAAATTTGCTTTACAATCATGAAGCTGAATGCAACAAGGGTGTCATTCTTTGTCATCTGCCCTTCTGACCGCTCATACTAAGCAGTGTGGGTGAAGTGTCTTGCCTAAGGGCACAACAACAGGACACAGTAGAGCCACTCCTGCCCCACTGTGGCATCTAATATTCCTCAGCAGTTAGTCATACCTAGAAGAAGGTATGGCCAACTAGTATTTTACACATTACCTGTAGTGCCTCTGCCTCTTGTATCCAGCTCTTCGCCTTCTCCACAACGTCCTTCAGTTCCAGACAGTTGGGCAGAAATGCAGGAATGTTCTCCACCTCCTGCAGCGCCCCCTCCAGGTCCTCCAGGCTCTGGTATGGCCTGAAAGAGGTATTTTCGTTTTAGAACTCTCCCTGTATTTTGTACTCTTTTTTTTTACTGATTTAAAACTATGATGAATATTTACAGGTACAATCGCACTAAACCAGGTAATTCAATTAACACAACCTGTCATATGCCCTTTAAACTGACCTGTTCTCCATGAGTCCCAGCGCCTTTTCCTCCCACTGCTCGGACACAGTGAGCAGCTCCTGCAGTCGAGCCATGGCCTTCTCCACAGAGCCGTGTGGAGCCAGCCCCACGCCCAGGTCGATCAGCCTCCTCATGGTGTCCAGACACAGGGCCTCAGGGTGGGAGCTCTCCTGGGACACCGCCTCCAGCCACCGTGCCTGCTCCAGCCTCTCCCTGAGCACTCGCCTTTGGGGCAGGTCCACATCCAGACCCAGGCTCAGGTCCAGAAGGTCTTGAAGGTCTGAGGGGCTGGGGGCATCTGCAGACAGGAGCTGAGCACTGCGCTGCTCAAAGTCCTCCACTCGGGTCAACAGGTCCTGAAGAAAGACAAGGGAGAGATTTTTTTTTTCCAGGTGTTTCAGGTTCAGCCTTTTAAAAGGAAGTCAGAAATATTTTTCCAAACTAATAAATTCCTAACTGACCCTGAGCAGTGGGGCCTGTCTGATGTTACAGGGAAGAGCGTCCAACTGTCGAACAAAGGACCGCAGCTCGTCGACCGTCAGCTCATTCTGACTCTGTGATTTACCACCACAAGAACGAAACCTGCGTCCAAACAGAAGGATTATATTCAGGCTAGACATGTGTTTTATTAATTATTAATTATAGTTTATTCATTATAAACTGCAGTATAAACAGGACACAGGACGTACCTGGTTTGGCGTTTGCCATTGAGAAGCTGTTGAGCCATCACAGCCACTTTGTCAGCCTCAGAGGCAATGGTCTTCAGCTGCTCCTGGAGGTTTTTATCTGGAAAAGCTCCAGTTTCTGCCAACTCCACCAGACTGTGCAGCTCTTCTAAACCTGAGGGAGGTGCAAAGCTGAGTAACTCTCAAAATCATAAAAAAAAAATAATACCACAAATAAAAAGTTATGACTGCAACTACAGTTGGATGAATTCGGCATGATATCAATAGCGATGAAATTCAGCACATTCAGTTGAAGTGTATGAAAGTATAAATTCGTACTTCTTTTGCTGGCCTCTTTCTTCTCCACGATCTCAGTCACGTCTCGGAGCCAGTTCTTGTAGGATTCTGCACGATGCTTCACTGCCGCCACAAGAGGGTACAGCTCCTCCAGTGTGTACTTGTAACTGGGAAAATACATTACAACATCAAAGACTTACAGTCTAAAACTACTACTAAAAAAAGAAGGGTGTTTATCAAATCAGACTTGTGGAATTTATTTTATTTCAATAAAGATTCAGTGATTTCTAATAGTCATTGACCATCATGTGTCTTTTTAATTTACAGCTCTACAGCCAATAATAAATTGCAGTATATTATGTTCAGGAAATGTATACTCAAAGACGTTTTATTTGTTTTCTAAAATAAAAAACAGGCCTAAAACAAACTGAGGATTTCTTTTTAGAATAGTTTTTGACACTCACTATAGAGTGAGGGTGTCCGTTGGGCATTGGCACAGCTCTTGCAGATGGTACAGACAGACCATCTTCTTAGGGCAGCAGTCACAGGTGAGTCCCGACAGGAAACAGGTGGTGAGGCATCGGGTGCACTGGCGCTCCTCATCTGGGAGTAGCTCGAAGTCCACCTGCTGGGACCGAACTACCCCCTGAGGAGAGGGGGAGCAACAAGAGAGTATTAGGAGGGGGTGAAGAAGAAGGGTTGAACTAAAAGAGATGAATGGGGAATGATGAAAGGCTTGAGAATACATCTAAAAGTACATTTCATTTGATCAACAAATGTTTGTTAAATAAATGTAAACACATGACTACTCTATAAAAAATAATTTTAAATGTGCTACAGTTTGTCTAGGTCTCTAATCAAATAAACCCAATATATCAAATGCATAATGATAATTGGCTCGATTTTATAATAGCATTGGTACAAATAAAAAAGATTTTTAGAACTTGTAATCCAAAACACCAAATGGAATGGTGTTTTAAGTGCTAAGATTTAAACTGAGAAAAAAAAATACTGTAGATTAAAATAATTGTGTCCACATGACATAACCAGTAAATAGCCAGCTGAGAATTTAAAAATCTCACCAGTTTTGTGATCTTCTTCCTGAGTTCCTCCTCTTCCTGGACCATGTCTTGAACCTCTTTAGTCAAAACTGAGGCCAGATTGACCTCCATAGTGGCAGCCTTCACTGCCATGTTGCAGACCATCTCATTGTGAGAGAACACGCAGTATCTGCTCAGCTGCCGATAGTGATCAATACAACTGCGCCCAATCGGCATCTGGAGACAAGAGGACAGTTTAGAGAATTATAGACGTGTATAAAACTGTAGTACTACGCTGTTGTAACAGAGAGTGAAGAAGTTTAAACTTCATGGAACCAACAGTTCAATATGTTGTTTGGATTGAGCACATTTCCTTACCCAGTCCATGGTGCAGAAGTTAACAGCCTCAGCAAAGTTGAATCCCTGATTGAAACCGCTGTGGTACGCTCTGGGGAAAGTGATGACAAACTCTCCTGCACACTGGTTTGTGCGAAAGATCTGGAAATGTTTAAAATAAAAGCAGAAACTTAAAAAGGAGTTGCAAAGTCAGATCAATTTTGTGAAACTGGATAGGTCTGGTTTAGTATGTAAATCTATTTCAAATAAGAGCATTCAGATTTTGTTTAAACTGACCGGTACACCGTGGTTCATGAGTGTGTTGGGGTTCATGATGGTGACCAGCTGATGCAGCAGATCCGGCTGACTCTCAAACAGCTCTGGGGCCAGTTTCTTCATCACAGACTCCAGATGTTCAGCTGCATAACCGGGGGCACCGTACCACGTCTTCGGCTCACCCCTGAAACCAATACAAACACTCACTTACTGTTCAGGCCAGACCTGGGCATTTCAGGGCCCCACACATGTTTGTGATAATAACATACTACATTACAGAAGCCCATATTTTACAGAAATGTGTTTATTTGTTACACAAATGGCCATGTTGGTCCAGCCCTTCGCCACATGTTTGGATTTGGGAATAGGCATGGATTTATGATAGGAACTGGAAAATTAACACAAGATGTCCACTAAATAAAACTCCATGTGCTTACCAATGCAGGTAATTGATGGAGTAGCTCCAGTGGTCCTCGATGTGCCAGCAGAAGGAGGAGAAGCACATGCCTACGTAGAGCCAGGGCAGCTTCATGCCACAGATGTCAGCTGTGATGTGGGTCAAAACTGAGGCGTCCAGAACAGGCATGTTATTCAGGTTCCAGCCACTGGTCACGTAATGCTGAGAGAGAGAGTCAAACAGATCAATTACACACAAAAAAGGAGCGCCAATACAAAAAGGGGAGTATATAAGCTGTGGCAGAGAGGGAGGAGAAATTAAGAAATTATAGAAGCCCAACATTAAAACATTCATTTAGCATTATTATTTATTTAAAGTTTTGCAACATTAAGTGTTTTATTACTTTAACTTTTAACATAGCAGACCAAAGTTCCACGTTTACATGCATTTTAGAAACTCGTTTCAAATTGAACAAGGCCTAGGATTAGGGTTTTCTAGTGTGTCTGTGATTTTATATTTGTGACCACTAAAATAGTCAAATCCTCAAATTTCGATTTCTATTAGACTAGTTTGTATAAATCTTGCAGCTGTGAGTGTCCTGTACCTCGTCCTCTGCAGTGACCTGGAAATGTCCATTCTTCACTGGAAAACCGGAACCGAACTCTTTGGAGGCGATGTCGGCTCCATACTCAACAGTCACGTCCTCCTCGATCGTACTCACCAGACGCCAAAACTCCTTCTCCACCAGCTCCGTGGGTACCATCTACAGGACAAAAGAAAAAAATTTTTAAAACGTCAAGGACAACACCTTTTTAATTCCCTGTTTACTTTATTGATTTTAAATCTTAAAGTTCTGTTTTTCACATTTTTAACAGTTTGCAGCGGTCCAAAGTTATTCCTTAATGTTTAATGCATTTGTAGCAAGTATTGACCACAATGAGTTTATAAGCCCTTTTCTCAACTTCCAGAGATGAGTTTTGCCATCATGGTATTCCTAATGACACCTAGCACACTAATGGAACACCAGCCTTACCTTACTGGTTCATGGACAAATAAAATACTACAGTAAGATCAATAAGACTTTTACGAAAAAAATCCTGACATACCCCTTTAATATTCATCATTCCATTTAGATTTTAAAGCTACACTATGTAACCTTTCAGGTGAAGGACCCACAATCAGCTTGTCTCTGCGAATTTATGACTTTGCCAGGAATGTTCTACAGTATAACATTAAACCCATTTATATTCTTTGAGACGACAGGAGGCCAAGCTATAGGTAGATCTGTACATGCAATCCAACTATAAGCAATAAGAATGCATATTTTTCTAATATATTTCTGAGTAATGAAACACCTGTGATTGAATAAATGCAAGATAGGCTAAATGAATGCCATACTTTTGACACGTGCACCTTTAATTAGTCATTATTTTGAAATTGTCACCATTGTGGAGCTAATAAATCTCATATTTAATCTTATTTTAGCAACAATTGATTTAGAAATGTTTTGAATGCAACTCACATGAACTGGCATGTTGAAATAGTCCGACTTGAATGAATCGGCCATGTCTCCAAAGGCCTGGAGAGTGTAGCTCCTGCTTGCCTGCTCAAATCCAAACGCCGCCTGAGGCTTACCACACTCCTGCAACCAAAACACATGCAATTCAATTAATGATGTTTTTTGTTATTAATTAGAGCATATGGTGTGATGTGGTGAGTTTCAGACTCAAACCACTAAACCATTTCAGTGTGGTTAAACCTAGATTTAATCCTTTGTCAAATGATTGGATTATGCCAAGATTGACAAGCATTTCAAAAATCAGATACTCAAACTAGTATCAAAACCAGATATTCATTTTAGGCGGTATCGATATTAAAAAAGTCACAATCAGAGAAATGAAGTTTTCTTGAATAGCGTTAGAATGATCTTGAGCTGTATCAGAAAAAGTATATGAGCACATAGTCTAGTATACACCATGGACCACTATGTAATCCCTCAGTCATCCAGATAGGTTCCATATGGTAATATAAAAAGAAAGTAATATTTTTGATTGTTGTAAATGCTATAGTTTAAATAAAGAGTATTTTGATGTCTTTATGTGGCCCTGTTTGGCCCAGTTTAGTTTAGACTGGGTTTGGTCCTCGGTTTTAGTTCTGGTCAAGTCAGGGGAAATAATGGGTTTAGACACAATTTTTCTGTGGTGTAAAATGTGAACACACCCTTCACCAAAGCACACCAAAGGATCCAGGTGCCAGACAGGGTGTGGTTTTGCCCCTAATTATCAGTCTGTGTGTCCTCTGGAGGCTGTAGAGGTGGCATTTCCTCCAGGGGGCAGTATACACACCTGAGCGAGGCACTTGGGGCACCTCCAGTCTCCTCGTGGGACCTCATGGAGCGGTGGGATGAGACAAAATGTATGGTAACTGTCATCACAGCCATCACACAGAAGAAGACGATCCTCTGCATTTCCCTGTCCACAAACCAGGCACATGTACTGGTCCACCTGCAGGGGGAGACACAGAATAAAGTGGATTTACCCTTATTTTTGTATTTATTTGTTGCATGTTTATAGGAAAAATGAATCAGAAGTGGGAAAGGTGAGTGGTCACTCCATTCACAATTAGTTTCATTTCAAACAAATTGTACTACTTCAGAAATAATTCATGGTTTACTTGTTCACGAATGTTTAAGGAACCTGAAGTATTAGCCTAAAATGCATAATTGAACTACATACTTTATTTGACGGTTTGTTGTTCAAAGTAGCTTCAATGTCAGCTGGGTCCTCGGGCTCCTCCTTTATTTCCATCACTGCCATTCTCGCTGGAAGACAATGGATTTACATTTTTAATAACCTTTGTAGACTCAATTCCCTTAAAAAAAAGTGGGAAAAGTTCTAAATTTCTAAATAAATATCAGTTCTTACTTTGTTCTCGTTTCACTGGAAAAGTTCCCATCCTCCTCATCCTCAGAGCCGGACGAGTATCACAGATCTCTCCAGGTTCAATTTTGATTTTCTGTGAAATAAATATAAAAAAATTATATATACAATATATATTTTAGAGATACACATAAAAACTAAACATTGTCTTGCTTATATGTTATGACTGAGTAAGCTCACAGGGCTGAAATGATTACACAGTTCACACAGCTCACAATTACACATTCACAATTACACATTCACTTAGTCATTCACTTAAGACAACTCTGAACACAGAATTCCACAATAATTTAAGCCTTCAATAAGGCTGTGGACATTCATTGTAGGTATTTATCACAATGCGATCTGATGTTATTGAGGTCTAGTGGTAGATTCAAACAGTAAAAAGTACTGCCTATGATCATTTGGGGCAACTGAGTAGAAAGCAAGGCAGCCGACAGAAAAAGGGTCCAAGAATGCATTTGATCTTCAGGTCACAGTTTGGACATCTCTGCACTATTCACCTTATTCAAGAAGTTGCTGTGGGTGCCATCATTGTCATTTGAGTTTGTATTATTTTACACGGAGTTGCCGATCTTGACAGCAAGTTCTATATGGACTATAAAGCTGTTTTAAAGCCTCACAGAGAATCAGAGTATTGTGACTTGTTGGTGCACATGAACATTTTACACAAATCAACCTATATTATATCAGATATAAGAGGCAAAACTTTGCTTAAATTCTCAATCAATGGGATAGGATGGGAATCAATGGGATGCCCGCTTAAACGTTCAGTGCCACCACAAAGAACGAGCATTTAGAGGCAAAAGAGGATGGGGCAAAAAAGGTCAGTGCGCTGACAGTAGACATGATACAAACATGTTTAAACCCACCTCGGCCCTCATGCGTTTGGCCCTGCGCGCAATGGTGCAGGTCTCTTGAGGTTGCACTGACTGTCTCTGTGGGATGTCATGGGGTGTATACTCCTGGTCCTTTGTGTCATTCGTCAAAATCGTTTTCTGCAAAAACACACAAACAGGTCAATCTATACAATGGTGAAGCCAGGTACATTTGAACACAATTCTGGTGGACTGCCCAATATTAATTGTTATAAGGGAAAAACAGTTTAGGAAATCAGTTGTTGTTTTCATTCTGAAAATACTGGGATATATATATATATATATATATATCTTTTAGGCATTGTCAGTCACCCCTAGTAAATGCTAACTTTAAAACGTAGTGTACCTAATTTTCACCATCTTGAAAATGTTTTTTTTTTTTTTTCTCATGGTCTTCGCAATCAGTAACAAACCTGAATTAGGTGCAGATAGTACATAGTAGTCTGATTTTGACTGGGGCTGAACAAATTTTACTCAGCTACATATCTTATTTTTATAAGATAAGACATAAGACATAAGATACACCTTCCTAAAAATCAGTCAAACTCCAATGGTAACTTGAAATTTGTGTTGACACCTACACGTTTTAAAAATGTGAAATAGTTAGGGTTTGTACCGGCAGGTTGGAGCCAGTCTGGAACAGGTTGTAGGGGTACAGGATCCTCTCGTAGTGAGCTCTGAGGTGAGACCCGATGGCTTTACCTGCAGCAAACCCCATCTTCACCGAAATCTTAGACCAACGACGATCTCGGCACACCACCTCGAACCCGCCCTCCTCATTCACCAACTGTGAACAGACAAAGAGGCAGAGACAAACAGGGAGAGACAGAAAGAGAGACCGGGAGACAGAGAGAGAGAAAAACCGAAGGAGATAATTGAAACATTGTGCTTGTAATCAATCATTTATACAGAAAACAGATCATCTCGTAGTTTACTGAATTAA